CACTATAGCATGACTAGTTAAGCTGTTCCTGTAGGATAGTAGGTTACAACTTGTAATTATCCTGTGCTCTAAGTATAAATATTCCATATATAAACTTGATGCATCTATCTCCTTGCAAACAACTGATGCAGTTGCTGATCTGGAAGTTAAAAGAACCAATGTGTTCAAAGGCAAGAGTAGTTAAAAAGCCTCTGCTTCTTTACTGTAGGAGTGTAGTATTAGTGCTGCAGTAAATGTATTACTGATTTAATAGTACTGTACCGTCGAGGCAGTAAGTGTGTGCGAACACTACTCATGCCTATATTGATACTGGGTTTGAATTTGTCTCTCACAAGTGCAGTATGTCGAATTCTTACCAACCTCCACTTAATATTCTCTGGAATTAGATTAACAGGGTGTGCCCTTCCAGGAAGAGACTGCGCGTTCCATCCAGTAGCAGGACAATTTCCATCTACAGGTCTGGTCTGGTTTGGATACTTTTAAGCATAGTGATGGGTTTCCGTATGTGTCAGACACCTGGATGACCAAAAAAACACTTTTAGTACACCACACCTGAACATTACAATTTAATGTCCATTCCAAATTCAGTTACAAAAATAGATCCAAATAATAATAATAAATAACCCTTGCATTTGATATAGTGCCTTATCACGTCTTTGAGGCGTCTCAAAACTCTTCACAGGATATATTGCATATATGACCACGGACAATTTATTATTATACTGTTACCCACTCTTTTTGTGGACCTGTTATTCTCACTCACCCAGGTGGACACTTTGTTCCCGCCTCAGCACCTCAGAAACAAGCTTACTTTCAGTTCCTAGAAAAGTTTCAGGAAACAAAAACTGCAGCATAGAATGATAGAGAATATTGTTAAAAGATTGTCACTCAGGTTTCTTGAAGCTTTGACACAGTTGATTGTACAGGTCCTTCCCTAATATAGGGAGAAACGTTGGGTTTTACGCCACATGCCTTTTGTTTGCCTAGCAGTAAGTAGGAACCCGGTTGTAGGTCGATTGGTGGATTGCTTTTCCAGGGTAATAATTCGTTAAAAAAATAATAATCAATCCATGACTGTTCGTGGGACACTGCTGTGCGCAATTGGCTGCCGTGTTTCGCCCACAAAATATACAGTCAATTCACATTACTGTATATTCTGTGAAGCGCTTTGAGACGTCTAAAAGACACGATAAGGCGCTATATCAAATGCAAGGATTATGATTATTATGATTATTATTATATTTAGCAAATTAATTTTTGGATCACATTTTGTTTCTTTGTGGTCCATTTTAAAAGTAAAATTAACAGGATATTATAGTACAGTAAAGTGTTAAACTATATTCAATTGTTACAAAACAACATTTGAACTATGAACCAAATCTCTAGGTATGAATCAGCTAAAGACCATAAGTCTATATCTGCTAGCTGGATATTGGTTGGATATTTCATCTGTGGAAGATTATCAGAGTGTTGCAATGCCATAACTGTATACATTCACTCTGTTTTAACCTTAAATCTACTTCTTGCGAAGTACACATTTCTAGTAAGTGATGTTAAAGCTTTATTACAATACTTTGGTTAAATAACTGTATGTGAAAAATATTCACAGATCTAACCAAAAAAATTACATATTTATGCTTCTGCAACTTTTTTTGTGCAATATACGTTTGTGTAGCGTCTTTCACGTTAGGAGGACGTCTCAAAGTACTTCAGACAGCTGAGTGGGGGAACAGATCAAGCAGGGATATGTTTGCATTTCAAGAAGAGGAATATCAATGTTAGGAAATAGAACGATGTCGCAATAAGAATTCCTAGGTTAATTATTGCACAGACCAAATGATAGTAAAATAAATCGCTGTATTCCGCCCCTAGTATATCTTAAACTCAACCTCAAAAAGACTTTCCTGCTCTGCACCAGTTTGTGATTTTCGCATGTCAGCCATCCATATGGGCTTCCGGAGTACAATTGCTCATTTATGTTGCACACCCAATAAACTGAGTAAGAGTGTCCAAACTCATTTAGTACCTTTACAATTGGCAGAATGTGACTTTTATTCTATGTGAGATTCAACCAGTGATAAGAGGTTCTAGTTTGAAACCACTGCATTATTCTGTTTTCGTGAATCATAACTGAGCTTGTGTTTCAGAATATGCAGTATTATTTCCAACATTTTTCACATCTGGCTGCACACAGATGTGCAGTCACATCACAAAGCCAATGTTTTCAGTGACAAAGACATTTCACTCACGCCCATTCCACCCTACTACCTGATTAACATTTGACTGGCAAAGCTAACTCTTAAATAAATGTAAATTTGTTGGTGAGGCAGATTAACACTAGTATGCTAACACATACTAATCCTGATACAGCATCAGTCACCTTTGCAAAGTGAACAAGAATCAACAAAACACATCGTCAAAAAACACTTTACAGCGTATCCTGTGAAGCGCTTTGAGATGCCTCAACTGTGTGATAAGGCGCTTTATCAAATGTAAGAATTATTATCATTATATTGTAAGAGAAAACATAGCTTGTATATATTGTACAGAAGACTGCCGCCTCTCTATGTATTGGTCAAAGACTCAAGCAGGAATAAACACATATTTCCATTTCAGTCTGACCACTATAATTAGAATAGTTCAAACACTTCATTTAAAAAAATCTCTTAAAACTATTTAAAACAAAGCAAATATTGTGGAAAAATCCTTTCACTTTCATTAATAATAAATTTCATTTCTTCTTATTATTATTATTACCTCGAGCAGAAGAAATGAGTTGCAGACACAGCATAAAGCAACCCTCAACATAAATTGAATACTAATGGCCCATTCTATCTTATACAGCATCCCCTGCTGTCCATAAAGCTGCCCTAAACAGTTGAGTCTATCTTGCTGAGTTTACTTTATTTATACATGCTGTGAGTTTCTCACCCTCTCTGCACCAGCTTCTCTGTCTATCTTTAGATCCCACCTCTTCAACCACACCTATGGCCATTCCTCTCATCCTTCTCCATTGCTTGGTGTTCAACCCCGTCACTGTGAAGCATTCTGAAATGTTATCCTACTTGGAGGGTGTTATATAAATATATGAATACAATAATCTGCCCGACTTATTGCTCTATATTGCTGTCACAAGGCTCCTATGTAACATCCATCTCAGTGTTGCTGAACGCCTGAGCAAGCGGATCCTGAGGACATACTAAAAGCAAAGATTCTTCTCTGTGGATAATAAATCTCCAACGACATGTTCTTCCAGAACAAAAGAGTGGAAAGTATTTACCTTGGACTTTATTTCACTTTAAAGTAAACTGGATATTTGTATATATATAGTATGTATGCGCGTGTGTGTGTAAATTACCGGTGGCTTTATGATATCAGTAAAGAACATTGATTGCCATTTTAAACCTTTATTGGAATGTGACATCTCTCCCAGAGAAGCCTTAATGTGTGAACTGCTGTTTTCACATGGGGGGAAGTCAGCACGGAAATTGGTGAGATACCAGATCTCTTCCTAAACTGACAAGACTCTAAAGCTGATAGCGATCGTAATGCTTTCTCTACTGTCTTTTCTTATGAGCTGAAAGGGATTGTTACTCAAGTCTTTAGAGGTGAAGGAATTGTGCAGTTCATTCCATGTCCCGGATTCAAAGTCAGGGCACATCTAAATGGCATTCTCCGTCATCAGTATCATTGTTGAAAGCAAATGCATTTGGGGGTGGGTGGGGGTGGGGGGGGGGGGAGCGCTCAGATTATTTTACCGTGACAGCAAATCAATGCGTTTACCAGCAACGTCTGCAGTAATCATAATCCTTACATCTGACAGAGGTTTATGCGAATCTGAAGATTAATAATCATAAAAATTCTGACGTGAACCCACAACATCCTGACTCGGAGGCGAGAGAGAGAGCGAGAGAGAGAGAGAGAGAGAGAGAGAGAGAGAGAGAGAGAGAGAGTAGAGAGAGAGAGAGAGAGCGAGAGAGAGAGAGAGAGAGAGAGAGAGAGAGAGCGAGAGAGAGAGAGAGAGAGAGCGAGAGAGAGAGAGAGAGAGAGAGAGCGAGAGAGAGCGAGAGAGAGAGAGAGAGAGAGAGAGCGAGAGAGAGAGAGAGAGAGCGAGAGAGAGAGAGAGAGAGAGAGCGAGAGAGAGAGCGAGATAGAGAGCGAGAGAGCGCGACACTGTCCAGGCTTGACACGCAGCCTGTTATTTGGTCACGTAATTGGTCGGCAATTCTAACAGCAGTTTGCTCCTTGCAATCTAATATTGATATTAATATAAACGAAATGTATTTCAGTTTGGGGGGAAAAGGGCAAAGAGAGACAGACAGTCACCACACCCCATCGCTCAGCTTCCTGCGGTTACCACCAGCGAGCAGCAGGTGGCGGTGTTTCCAACTCGCTCTGCACTCGCTGGTCCGCAGCGCCACCTGGCGGGCAGTCTCCGCAGCGCCACCTGGCGGGCAGTCTCCGCAGCGCCACCTGGCGGGCAGTCTCCGCAGCGCCACCTGGCGGGCAGTCTCCGCAGCGCCACCTGGCGGGCAGTCTCCGCAGCGCCACCTGGCGGGCAGTCTCCGCAGCGCCACGTGGTGCCCAATCAACATACCGCAATCTGGAGACCGAAACCGTCAGGTGAAACATGTACTGCAACAGCGCTATCTGAGGCCGAGACGAGTACTGGCGTATTAGTGCGGTGTCCGCAGCGCCGCTCGGTGGCTGGGGCGGGTAGTACAGTGTACACAGCGCCCCTCGGTGGCTGGGGCGGGTAGTACAGTGTACACAGCGCCCCTCGGTGGCTGGGGCGGGTAGTACAGTGTACACAGCGCCCCTCGGTGGCTGGGGCGGGTAGTACAGTGTACACAGCGCCCTCGGTGGCTGGGGCGGGTAGTACAGTGTACACAGCGCCCCTCGGTGGCTGGGGCGGGTAGTGTAGTGCACACAGCGCCGCTCGGCGGCCGGGGCGGGCAGTGTAATGTGCACAGCGCCGCTCGGCGGCCGGGGCGGGCAGTGCAGAGTCCCCCCTCCCCCGCTCGCAGGCAGTTACTCGGCGACATGTGGCGCTGAGACTCGGGCCGCGCCGTTTGCTGAAGTCGGGTCTCGGCGGAGTCGGGATCTCGGGGTTGTTGTCGGCACAGAGTTGGGCTGAAGGCGCCGCGGGTTCGCGGTGATGAGGTTCGGGCTGCGGTAGCGAGGCTCGGAGCCGCGGCCCCGGAGACGCAGGTGAGGCCGAGAGTGAAGTGCGCGGCGCGGCCTCGGCCTCGGCCTCGGGTGATGTTGTTGTGGCCGCGGGCGCTCGCGAGTGTCGGGGAGGCGGTCAGAGCGGAGCCGCGGCTTCACCGGGGGCCCGAGAGCGGGGAAAGAGCGCGGCTTTGTCAGAGCAGCGACTGCGGCCTTGAGCCGAGGCCTCGGCCTCACCCTCTCCCCACCACCCCCCCCCCGGGGAGTGTTGTACACAGTGTGTGAGGGGGTGTGTGGGTGAGGGGGTGTGTGTGGGTGTGTGTGGGTGTGTGTGAGGGGGTGTGTGTAAGGGTGTGTGTGGGGGGGGTGTGAGGGTGTGTGTGTGGGGGTGTGTGAGGGGGTGTGTGTGAGGGTGTGTGTGTGGGTGTGTGTGGGGGTGTGTGAGGTGGGGGTGTGTGTGAGGGTGTGTGTGTGAGGGTGTGTGTGTGGGTGTGTGTGTGGGTGTGTGTGAGGGTGTGTGTGAGGGTGTGGGTGTGTGTGTGAGGGTGTGTGTGAGGGTGTGTGTGTGGGGGGTGTGAGGGTGTGGGGGGGGGTGTGAGGGTGTGTGTGTGGGGGTGTGTGTGTGTGTGTGGCTGTGTGTGTGGGGGTGTGTGTGTGGGGGTGTGTGTGAGGGTGTGGGGGGTGTGAGGGTGTGTGTGTGGGTGTGTGTGGGGGTGTGTGTGGGTGTGTGTGAGGGTGTGTGTGTGTGTGGGGGGGGTGTGAGGGTATGTGTGGGTCTGTGTGAGGGTGTGTGTGTGGGGGTGTGTGAGGGTGTGTGTGAGGGTGTGTGTGGGTGTGTGTGGGGGTGTGTGGTTGTGTGTGAGGGTGTGTGTGGGGGTGTGGGTGTGTGAGGGTGTGTGTGTGGGTCTGTGTGAGGGTGTGTGTGTGGGGGTGTGTGTGGGTGTGTGTGAGGGTGTGTGTCTGGGGGGGTGTGTGTGGGTGTGTGTCTGGGGGGGTGTGTGTGGGTGTGTGTGGGGGTGTGTGGGTGTGTGTGAGGGTGTGTGTCTGGGGGTGTGTGTGAGGGTGTGGGTGTGTGTGTGTGAGGGTGTGTGTGAGGGTGTGTGTCTGGGGGGGTGTGTGTGAGGGTGTGTGTGTGGATGTGTGTGAGGGTGTGTGTCTGGGGGGGTGGTTACAGACACACACTGTAAGTGGACCATTTCCAGGTCAGTAACAGTGGCCCCGGTGTTGGGCGGAGTCTGGAGATTAGGCCACAGCGCCACCGACTTTACAAACCAAACTCTCTCTGTGTTTGTGTTTTGTGTTGAAGTTGACAGTGAAAAGCTGTTGTTTTATCCGCACTTCAAAATCTAAATGAATTCCCCCAATACGAAGAAAGGAAGTCATAATAATAACAATAACAACAACATTAGTAACAACAATAATAATAATAATAATCCTTTGCGTTAGCTGTTGTCGTGTCTTCGAAACGCCTCGAAAGTCCTTCCCAGAATATACCGTAAAGTGAATTTGACTGTGAATTACTTGTGGGCGAAAACCGGCGACGGATCAGTTGGAATTGCGAACTCGATGCAACGCTCGAAAGTTCAACACTGAACTTTCAGTGAGAGGAACGTCGGGCGTGAACTTGTGTTTTATTACTGAGCGCAAACCAAACTTGTTTGTAAAGTTGTTATTTCAGAGCTCTGTATCCAGAGCGACACTTACGACAACGCAGTTTTTCTTGGTTTGTGGCAGGAAAAAAACTGAATTGCGGTTGGTCGGTATAGAATGTTTCTGAAGGACGTTTGTTGGTTGTGTTGACATGTTGGACTCGTTTTGCATTCAATCCGGTAATCCACTACAACATTATTTCGAGCGAAATCCTTATCTTGGCCTTTTTTCAGTTTCTGTAATAATCCTTGAACCTTCACGCTTCACCTGAAGTCAGGATCCAAACTACAGTAAAACTTGCATAAGTCTTATCTTTACAAATCGTATAATTGCCCAAGTCGTGCATTCACCTGAGCCCCATTCAGTTGCCTATCAAACTCACTTAGATTTCTTTGCACTACTCGTATTAATCATGTCCTCAACTCGTAACATCGCTCCCCTCCCCTCCGTTACTCTGCACTTACCAACTGCATTGAATCGCGAGAAATGACGCTCTGATCCATCCACACACGTGCGCTTGCCAACCGGCTGCATTGAATCGCGGGAAACGTAGTCTTGACCCTTCGCCGCACAAACTTCCATTTCTCACGATTCGATGCAATTCCATTGTGAGTGCACTTGCGGCGATGCGTAAAGAAGCATTGAATCATGGAAAACATAGTTTTGATCCGTCACCACATGCACATTTAGCAGCTGCAGTGACAAACTAACGTGTGCATACTTTACCAAATGCATTGAATTACAGTTTGCAGGGTAGATTATTGATTAAATTGGATTTTATGTCACTTAAATAGTTTTGCGCATCTCTGGCTTTAAGTCGTATGAAATGTTTACTGTATTAACAACAAAAAACAGTTTTTTTTCCCTAGTGTAAATTTGGAGTTTTTTCAAGTCGCACCCCCTAAATGCTTTGCATCACTCCCTCAACCCATATGAAAAAAATTGTTCCTCTTCTAGACAACTATGGGTGTTCCTGGATCGGGTGTGGCCTGTTTATTCTGCAAAGTTAGAATTGATTTCACAATGTTTTTATATAATAAAGGGTTTGATTAATTTTAAGCCCCTCAGATGCTCATTTCAAAAATTAAATTTATGCATGAGCTGTGATATAAAATATACCTTAACCAATGGCAGAAGATTTGAATGTAAACATAATTGAGTATTAATGTTTTTTGGACTGCTTTGAAGCTTTTTAATAACAGGAAACTAGCCATATTCCCAATATGTTCATAGCAATAAAAAGTAACTGCTGTAGTTAGCAGAACTTTCCTCAGTAGGAGTTAAGTATAAATCATATTTTGCACCACTTATCACCTAACTGGTAGAAGTCATGACAAACGACTGGAGTAATATAAATCCTGGATTTGTTTATAGTCACACTTTGATTCATTCTTTCCCAGATCTTAGACTGTCGTTCTTCCTATAATCAACATCCTTTTAAACAATACAATAGAAAATTACATTTTTCTAGCGCCTTTCATGTCGGGTGGACGTCCCAAGGTGCTGGACAGTCAGGGGTCTGGACTTGAGCAAAGGGGATGGGGTTGGGGTAAGAGAGGTCTGAGGGCAATTAGGGAAGGAGGGTGACTGAAGGATGGTCAAAGAGGAGTTGGTGTCAGCTATTTACAGTTTTCTACTTTATTTCACCCTTTCATTCTTTTCATCTTCATGGTGTACTAGACTATGATTTTGACCCTTTGCTTTAGTTTTTTCATAAAATAAAGTAAATTCACAGTAAAAGCAAGTGCTGTATAAACCCAATAACTCACAACTTTGAGTTCAAGGTTTTGTCTTAGAACACTGTTAAGCGCTCAGGGGCGATACCCCGCTGAAGGCCACCATATAAATGCCATTTGTTGTTGATGTACGTTAGAAAGTTAGGATATCACAAGTTGGTTTTCACATTCTGTTAGACTCTTGCCAGGACTTTACGTTTTTACCTTATATAATTGCACATTTAGGTATAAATATTATTTCTGCGATGGGTTCTTAGTCTTAGACGCTTCTGATACTTGAACTGACTTGCTTAAATGAATGTTCTTCCTTGTCTTGATGTGCTTCAATTCCAATGAAAATCAAAACAGAATTGGATGATCTAGATCTTTGAGGAACTAAGGTTAAGGGCCAAGATTGACAGTGCAGGACACCACCAAGGTGTATGCAAAAGAATGCAATAGATCAGAAAATAGAAATTAGGTGACTCCAAACCCTGTAGATTGTATATTGTGTTCCTGGGAAAGAATACGTTGTGATGCCCACTGAGCTACGTTTGATTTTGTCATAATGAGGGTACGTGGAAGAGGAAGTGTGAGGTTCCTATTTGGAGCTTGGGAGGAATCAGCGAAGAAAGATCAGAGGCACAATGACTTTTCAATATAGTAGAGCAAAGTAAGAGAGGTTACGATTGAGAGAGAAATTAGAAGTGAGCAAAGATTAGTCTCTGTGGCAGTCTCGGCAGTCCGGTTCCTGAGCCAGTTAGGTCTGCAGTATTCCAGGGCACAGCCGGCCTGGCTCATCGGCAGGACCGGGAAGGGCAGACCAGTCACTGGGAGCAGTGAGTCATTCCACTCAGCTCCTGTGAACCCTGCAAGCCAAAGCCCTAATGGGTAGGGTGGTCCAAGCTGGACAAGCAGTGGGAAAGCTTACCAGACAGCAATATTAATGGCAAGCTAAGCGGTTTTAGCTGGTTAGATTCCAGCAGTTACCACATTGCGCACTCTGAGGTCCCCAAGTCTTGGCTCTCGCCAACCTGCGCCCAATACGTTTTGGAATTAGGTAAGTGGGGAGAGAGTGCACATTCCATTCCAACAATCTGTCTCTGGGATTTCCATGTGTAAGTGGGATGCATGGAAATCTCAGCTTGGATAGAGTTTTAAATACTCTTAAGCATGATGATAGGTTTCCGCGTGTGTCAGACATCCGGCTGATCCCCCAAAAATCACTGCAGCAGGAGAGGAATGCGAGTGGGAAGCCATGCTTATACTTCCCACTCTATATCACTGTGAATTCGGCTGAAAATTCTCATCTCCAGAATGCTCAAATTGAGCCTCATTTGTTAGACGATGAGCTTTGTGAAAACAGTAGCCTATAAACTTCCTAGACCATCCAACCGAGGTTTAAACAGTGCACGAGTTTGTTCATTTGCACACTTGGCTAATCTCTATAAAACTCAGTGATTCAACACCAAACGTACAGCAGTAAACACAAGAAAGAGTTGTTGAGCGTAAAAGAAATGTTTATGTCACAAGAGGAAGTTGAGCTCCTCAGATGTAGAATTTATTAATGGAAGATGATATGTGGTAGTGAAAAGTTTGAAATAAATGCACGCTGGCTGTTACTTAAATTATAGTTGAACCTCACCTTGTGATCAACTCGAGATCTGGGCTATGCTTTCTCTTTTGGTTTCATTTCAAACTCATGGTAAGCAAGATCCCCTGCTCTCTAATATGGGCAAAATGCTGCCCTTAATACTGTAGCAAGTTTAATATACTTCAATCTTTGTTCTTTTGAAGAAACATTTCCTGTATAGCCATTTTTAGCATATAAGCAAAGCTTTTTGAGCACGTGAATTTACCACCAAAACAGTTGTAAGACTAAAAGGGGAAGTTGTACAACTTTTATTCTCAACAGTAATATGCAGCTGCTGTATTCAGATAGCAGGTAAAATGGCATACACTTTCAATCTCTCCACACCCCTCTCCAAAAGTAATTTGGTCCTCAATACAATGGATGGTCCTGGATCAGGTAAGGTCTATTTATACCCAGCAAAGTTTTTAATCATGTGGGTGTTTTGCCTTCCCTGTTTTACGTGATAATCACGAGCCATTTTGGGGAGCTAGTCAAAATAAATTCAAGTTGTTGGCTTTGATTAACAAAGATGACTCGAGTTGACAGGAGTTTGATATTTGAAACCTGTGCCTTTTGATTAGCAACTCTCCCAGCAGCAGCAATATCAATCAAGGGCAATTACCTCATTTTGTTGATAAATTATTGCTTGTTGCTGAGAGGATGTACCTTGAATGCATTGTAACATGAGGTGCCTCAGGATGTGTGGAGGATTGTTCCAGCAACCCTAAATGATCAATTTGTTTTTACCCTCGTGAATTCAGCCTTGCCCTCCACGTGACTCTTCCTCACGTTTGTTCGGTCTCCTTTATCTGGGGTGAGGTGCTGCGCCCCACTTTTGGCATCAAAGATTCTCTGGTCAGTTCATAGGCTGATCATTTGCCTTTGTGATCCAAAGTGCATAATTATTGGTATCGAGTTGCAGCAAGTGTTTGAGGTAAGCCAGCACTGTATGCACAGACCTCCTGTATGGGACAGAAGCTGAAGGCTATGACCGAAAGGATGATTAACTAGTTGTCTACAACAAGCTCGTTATATGAAATGTATTAAACTTTCAGTGCGTTTAAATCCTTCTGTTTTATTCACAGTTTTGTTTTATCAATTGAATGTAAAAATGGGAGCCAGAGAGGTGACAAAGTCTGCAAATAAAGATGACGATTTTGAAGGTAAATTCAATTTCAATATTTCCGTATCCTGTGTTCAGTTAACTTGAATAACCAAATGCAAATATCAAATGCAAGTATTATTATTATTATAGTGTGCTGGGCTATAATCCATTTTGAATGCTTATGCTTGCAAAAGCACAGTTTTGTAACTGGACCATTTAACACTCTTGAGTGGAAGATTTCAGTACAGCGGTTTTTACTTGTGTTGCTTGAACCAGTCCAAACCACATCTATTTTAAGTACTGTGCTACCTAGATAATTGGTGAGCTGGTTCTTAGTGCCTTTTATAGAGCTTCCTCTTTCATTACAGGCTAGAGGTAGAGGTGAAATGCAGAGAAAAATGGAGTATAATATGGAAATACTTTGAAATGCTGCTCCTAGATACAGTGTATTTTTGTAACGTTTCCTGGAATATGTTAAACTTTCAACATAAATGCTTTCAAAAGACTTCCAAGGTTGATGTTTTGTGTGGTGAGTTGTTTGAAGATCAGCCCATCAGACCCACTTTTTTTTAAAAAGTCAGTTACAATAAATAATGGCACCAGTAGCATCTTCTATATTAGAATCATAGAAATTTACAGCATAGAAGGAGGCAATTCCGCCCATTGAGTCTGTACTGGTTCTCAGATCAGAATTAATCATATGTTATTGAGTTGAAAGGAATTTGAGCCTATAACTGAGGTAACTGGGTTAGTTTAGACTATTTATAATAAAATCATCCCAAGTTCTGATTGTATCACACTGAAGGAATGAAAGGATCCTAACAACTATTTCAATTCCAATAATTGCAGCATCAGTGATAGCATGTTTGTTGAAACAAAAAAAATTGACAGAAGGAGATGAATCAAAATAAAATATATTAATGGTAATTTAACTTTTTTTTAATGCACAAAATTTCCCCATTAAATTTGATAAATATTTTGTGCTACGAAAAGATGCTGGGTATAGGAATGAAGACTGTTGCAGAGAAATATAAGTTTGAAAAATGGACTTAACTTATTAAAATTGCTTTTAGTACTTTTCCAGGGTTTTTAAATGTACTGCAATAATTTTCAGTTATTTTTATTTGCTGCTTATTACAGTCTGCAATTTCTGTTTTTTCAAGATCATCAAGTGAAAAGAGCATTTGACTTAATGTGGTGCAAAAATACAACATAGATCGAAGTTGTTACAATAAATATGCACAGAAGTTTTTTTTGTCTCTCTCTCCAAGATAAAACTATATCTAACAATGCATATATCAACAACAAATTACATTTGTATAGAACCTTTCGTGTCGGGAGGATGTCCCAAGGCGTTCGGCAGTCAGGGGTGGATCAGGAGGGGGTGGAGGGCAGGGATGGTAGGGGTAGGAGGGCAGCTGAAGGCGCGGTTGAAGAGGAGGGGCTTGAAATGTGCCTCGAAGGAGGCAAAGGAGGGAGCAAGGTGAAGGGATGGTGGGATGGAGTTCCAAAGGGTGGGGGCAAAGAAGCTGAAGATCTGACTGCCGATGGCGGGGCGGGCCGGGGACGTGGAGCAGGCCACAGCCTGCTGAGCGAAGGGAGCGGACAGGTTAATATGGGGGTAGCAGGTCACACAGGTAGGAAGGAGGAAGCCCACGGAGGGCTTTGAAGGACATGGATTTTGAACTCTATCCTCTGGGGGTGCGGGGAGCCAGTGGAGACGGGCGAGGGTGGGGGTGATAGGATCTCAGAGCCTGGTACAGGAGAGGACACGAGCTGCAGAGTTCTGGATGATCTGTAGCTTGTGAAGGGAAGAGCTGGGAAGGCCAACAAGCAGGGAGTTGGTGTAGTTGAGCCTGGATGTAATAAATGAGTGGATGAGGGTTTCAATGGCCTGAGGGGAGAGGTAGTGGCGAAGCAGGCGATGTTGCGAAGGTGGGGGAGGCAGAGCTGGTCATAGCATGGATGTGAGGTATCAGCTTTTTCTGTGCTTTACAATGCCTATAATTGTATTAAGAAAAACAAATGGTATTGATCAAACTTGTACTTGATATTAAATGGAATTGTTGGGTAGCAATCTGTACACAGTTTATTTTTTGCAGTAAATGCTTAGTTTTTTTTCTGCAATGTCCTGACTTTGGGCAGTCTTTTTTAAAAAAATAACTTCTGCAATTTTGCCAACAGGTGGGGAAGATACACGAGAAAGAGAGAGTGCTGATAATGAAGCAGTGGTCCCAACAGCTGATAACAGTGACCTCTGTCCTATCTGTTTATGCTGCTTGGTAGAACAAGAATTGGCTGTTCCGGAGAGCTGCTCTCACATATTCTGCTTGAGATGTATTCTAAAATGGGCTGAGGTAAGGAAAATAACTCTTCGCGCTAGATTAGTGAGGTCGTTTTTCCTTTATATTCGAAGCTGAAATGAAACACAAGTGCTAAATCTTGAGAAACTCGACTGATTTCAGTTTTGGTTGCAAGATTTAATGACAGAGTGAGAAGGGAATGGCTGGCAGAAAATCAAAATAATGAGTAGTGTGTTTCTGAATAATAATGTGTTTAAAGATATTCTGGAGCATAAGTGAAGTAGTGTGACTATGAGACTTGCCTCTTCTCTTCAACCGTGCCTTCACCCCCCTCTCAACTCTCTACCCCCTCCTCGCTCCCTCTCTTCCCTCCCCTCACCATTTCCCCCCTGCTCGGATCCCAACCCAACTGTCCAGCGCCTTGGGACGTCCTCCCGATGTTGAAGGCGCTCTATAAATGCAATCTTGTTGTTGCTGTCTTCTTCAAGGTCCATCTCAAGATCATCCTTTTTGACTGTGCCTTTGGCCAACTTTCCCCTCCCCCTTTGGCCCCCCATCCCTTCTGAATTTAACCCCAACTTGGGTGAAAAACCTTAACTGTTCAGCGCCTTGGAATATCCTCCCGATGTGAAAGGCATTACATAAATGCAATTTGTGCATTGTGTTTTCTCCTTGCGTCTGTTGGTTTAAAATTCCTAAAAGCGTGATTTAAAAAAAAATGAAGGAATGATATATTAATTATTTTGCAACATGTTATTAACATTTTTCTTTTGTTTATGAACAACTTAATGACAACTTAATAAAGTCAAGACGTTTCCCAGCTAAGAGCAAAGCTAAACTTGCTGCTGAGGCATAGTCAAGTAGAAAATGAGAAATTTTAAATGCAACTGGTAGTCTTGGTTGAAAATGTAACTACTATACATGCTACAAAAAAGTGAGAGAGAAAATAACTTTTTTCCACAGAAACTCAGTTCTTGCCCTATAGATCGTAAACCTTTCACTGCGGTATACAAGCAAGATAATGCATTGAATAATACCAAGGTACAGTATTAGTAACTCCAACATTTGGATTATGTTTATTTGCATAATGTTATGTATATAATATATATGATTAGATTGGTTTTAAAATGATTGGAACCATTTTCCTGATATTTCAGATCTCAGTAAAGCAGAGATTCAGTCAAAATTCAGAAGATTGGAAGGATGACAATGCAGAAGGCCATTATTCTAGACCTGTGAGGTATGTGCTACAAAACCTTTTGAAATAATTAACACACTACGATAGGTCCAGATTATCCAATTATTATATATTGCTTTGTGCATCCACAGTAACAGTCTTATCTTATCGATGATGTGGAAGCTTGCAACATGAAAGTAGTGAGGGCCAGCTGTACACAGCACCTCAGGTGTATTCTGCAGTATAGCACAACTGTCAGTTTTCTTCTGTTCGTTCTACAAATTCTTCAGATTATGTATAAGGATGCTGGACATTTGAGAGAATGGCATTATACATGCAGCAGTTGTTTTGATCAGGACACTGTTCCTATTCTTGCCTCTTTGAATAGGAATGCTGTAAATACAATTGGCCTTTACAGATCCCACTCTGCTTGGCTCACGTCACTTGTGGCCCAATGGCAATCAGACGAGTTTCAGCCTTACGGTGCCTATCTGTTACACTGGCTGGAGTTGCAGTGTGTAATTTTTAAATACATTCTACCAATTCTTCATTTGGATTAAAAGAGAAAGAAGAGAACAATGTCAGGAACAGTTGCAGAGTTTTAATAGTTTGGGGGGAGAAGGGTTCAAATTCCGAATGTACATAGAAAACCATACAAGATTATGCAGGAAATTGCAAGTGTTTAGTAAAGTTACAATGAAAATCTGAGAGTTCTGATACTTGCACATCAAATGCATGCTTTTAAGTAGTTAATTCCTTCATATAGTTGTAATATTATAGTATAAGTCATTGTTACCAGCTTGTTGAAGTGAAATGTGAGTTCTGTAGTTTGTGTTTGTGATGTGCCAGTGATTTCAGAACATGCTTATTTTATAGTGTAATCAGGGACCTGTGGTAGTCATTTTGGGATTGCACTTGGTGAAGGAGAATTTAATTTTTTCATTGGTGAGTCAGTGCAAATACCTTAGTTCTGTTTGTTTGAAAATCTTTGTCTTTAGCATTTGGGAAGAGGCTAATAGGCAATATGGTACTACAGTGTTGTTGGTTATGCTATCTTTACATTGCTCATTCACAGTTGCATTGGGCCTTGTTTGTTTAGTAAAATTTGTATTATTATTAATCTGCTGAACAAAAGGCAGCTCCGAATAGCAGCTAATACTGTGTAATATTGCGCCACGTTATATGTTCATTGCACTATAACTTCTTTGCAATCTCCCCACAGTTTTAAAAATATTGACCTGAATTTATAAGCTTGTAGGAACTTGGCAAATCACAATTGATTTGAAAATAGTTTATAGAATGTAATACTTTCAAAATAACGTAGATCTTGAACCATCCTTACCTGCTGTATCTTTTCATTACAGAAGAGAAGCTTCCTCGAATAACAGTTTCTGCATCTGCTTAAAGGGAAAATGCAAACGTAAGTACAGTAGAAACTCATTCTAAAATGCTTCATTATGACTTGGCCTTCTGTTGCAACCACTTCAAAATGGTTGATTGCACAATTTAAACATTTTAAAGCTTGACATTGTGACTTAAAGTCATCCATCCAACTTTCTGCATGCATTTTGGAAAACTTGATTCCTAATCTCATCCAAACAAGCAAGCTTCCGGGACTTTGTGACTGTCCTGAGTGCCCCTGGGCTAGGGAACGGGGAAACAGCAGTCAGATTTTCATCTTGTGATAAATGCATATGAGTGGTCTTCAGATTTGACTGTGATGTGCACAAGAAGTGGCCAGGTGGGCAAGGTGCTAAAGACCTGCCAATACCTACAGTTGAACTACACCCAGTTGACATTTTCTGACAAAAAATTATTACATCTTTCTTTATTCAGGGTTCTGTGCCGGTCGTCGAGAAGCTATGCGTTCAGAATTTTGTGGTCTACTAAGTCCGACACTCAAGACCTGTGACAAAAAGAGCAGGCCTTCCAATAAAAGTAAAAATAAGGTTAGTTGAGATTTTGTGTGGCAGTGGTAAGGAGGTAGATTGTATCATTAGTTGAAACAAATGTACAAAATCATGTGAGGGGAGATGGCTTTTTTTAAAAAGTTAATGCTTTGAAAGATTCCTGAAATGTATTGTTATTTAAAGTGGAACCTCTTTAATGTGTGACTTTACAGCCGTTTAAAAATATAAAGTATTTTTCACAGTTTCTCAGTGACCCCACAACAAACAAGGGCAAACTGAGCACATACCAACTACATGTCCCTGGGCTACCTACCTGCACCCTGTTAGCATTTCCTAGGCAGCAAACTGCACAATAACGGAGGTGATGGGTTACTGCTGAAGGATGTTAAGACCTTGTATTTATCAAAGGCTTGTAACCTCTCCACAGCATATACAACAAACATGTCTGAAAAATTCATGTGAGAGCAACTAGAGCGTCTCATCACTTTGCCTCCAATTGCCTCTGCACTTAGATGGAAAACTGAAAGTACAGGTTGTTGGCAGCTTGCCAGGACTTGTCAGTTACTTGTTGTATCTGCCAGACAGCTGCAACGTCTGTTTTCAATGCACAGATAGAAAACCAGACATCTGCATTTTGTGAAAACCATAAGGTATGCCTAAAACACAAAATACTGCAGATGCTGGAATCTGAAACAAAAACAGAGAGAGCTGGGAAAACTCAGCGGGTCAGGCAGCATCTATGGAGAAAGGAAAGTGAGTCAACGTTTCGGGTAGACTAGGCATAATGTATGCCTTCAAGTTTGACTACATATTACAAAACGCAGTACAATGTGCTGATACTTCAGACACTATTCTATGTAGAGGAATTATCTCAGACTAATTGTAGGGAGTTTTGATTGGTGAAAGTTTTGAAGTGGCAATAGAAACAATTATAACTTGGTCTCCTTTTAAATAAAATGTAACTTACAACTGAAGCAAAGTAGACTTTTCTCTTCTTGGTTATCTTATATGTGTAGTGCTGTGTGTCTGTTCCCCCACCCCCACTAGCTATTCTCAGTGGTAAAGTCAGAAAAACTAAATTTGCTCATTTGAGCTTCTAGCTCTTGAATGGGATGTAACTGGTTGTTTAATAAACAAACAGTATCTCTCTAACCAGCAACCCATGAACTGGAAATCCATTCCTTCAGCTTCTGAGACTTCACTATTGAGAATGGATGGCAATGGGGTCAATTTAATGTGATAAACACCAATGGATCAGTGATGTGCTCTCAAAATTACATTTATGCAACAATAGTGAGATACTATTTGTGCTGTGCAGGTTAGACCAGTCATCTTGTACATTGAGCGGAACCAAAGCCTTACTTTGATAATTGTAAAGGTATGATGTGATTGTGTCCTGGCCAACAATCCTCCAGATTAATCGACTGTTATGGGAAACTTGTAATAATACTAATAATCTTTGCATTTGGTATAGTGTATTTCAAGTGAGGCGAACATCTCAAAGAACTTGACTATATACCGTAAAGTGTGATGACTATAATCTTACCTTGCAACGGGATGGTGTATTTTCTCAAAACCACACTACATTTGGCATTCATTACCTATGAAGTATTTTGTCATTCGGCATAATTAGACCCTATAAGAATGCAAGTTTATTCTTTCTTTAATAGGTGAGCAGAAAATCCTGTTCCCAGCCATGTACGAGAACAGATCACAGCAGTTTCACTCCTGCATGTGGGAAACCAGAGATGTCTTCTCCGATTGAACATTGGTAAGTTTCAGCCTATCATTGTTTTAAATTCCAGATTGTATAAAGAAAGTCCTGTTACAATGAGCATTACACACAGGATGGAGAGATTTTTGTTCCTTCTCCCAACACATGAGCTGAGCACAAATAGACTAGGTTGTTTACTTGATGAGTTGCAGTTTTCCAATCGACGAGGTGAATATGTTAGCATTTCATTGCTTCATTTCACCTTATTTCTTCTGTTAGAATTGTTTAAAATGGGAGGAACCAATAACCTAGGTTTGAGCCCATGTCCATAATGCAAGATTAAATTATAGCTGAAAAAGCAAACAAGTTAGGTAGGTGGTACCGAGATCCTAATCATGTTCAGTGGTATATATGCAAACCACAAAACATTTAACAACAACAACAAAATTACATTTCTAGTGCGCCTTTCATGTCGGGAGGATGTACCAAAGCGCTGAACAGTCAGATGTCAGGGCCCGAGCATGGGGGTGGGGTGGTGTAGGGGTGAGGGAAGGCAGAGAGGTGGAAGGGAGACCAAAGGCACGGTCGAAAAGAAGGGTCTTGAGACCGGCCTTGAAGGAGGCAAGGGAGGAAGCGAGGCGAAGGGACTGTGGGATGAAGTTCCAGAGTGTGGGGACAGAGAGGCTGAAAGCCCGGCCACCGATGGTCGGGCGGGCGACATGGAGCAGGCCGGAGCCTGATGAACGGAGGGAGTGGGCAGGTTGGTAGGGAGTCAGCAGGTCAGAGAGGTAGGAGGGGGCAAGGCCATGGATGGCCTTAGGACCTGAGCCAGTCAAGAACAGAACCTTGAAGGTTGAGGTGGGAGGAGAGGCAGTGGAGGAGGATTAAGTGGTCCATTGTGTCAAAGGCGGCGGAGAGACGAGGAGGCAGAGGGAGCCCTGGTCACACATGGTTAGGATGTTGTTTGTGACCTTGACCAGAACAATTTCCGTGCTGTGGGCAGCACGGAAACCCAATTGGAGGGGTTCATGGAGGGAGTGAGAGGAGAGAAAAGAGCGAAGCTGGGTGGCAACGGCTCTCTCGACCTTGGATAGGAAGGGAAGATTTGAGATGGGACAGTAGCTAGATCGCTGTGATGGGTCGAGGGAAGATTTCTTCAAGGTGTGGGTGATAATAGCTGTTTTGAGGAGGGAAGGAACAGTGCCAGATGACAGGGAGAGGTTAATGATGTTGGCGAGTAGTGGGGCAAGGAGGTGGAGCTGGGATTTAAGGAGAGGGGTAAGGATGGGGTCGAGGGAGCAGGTGGACTTCACGGAGGTTACCGTGTTGAAGACAGAAGAGGGGTAACAGGTTCAAAGGTCTGGAAGGAGGGATGGGTAATTGTGTGGGGCGGGGATAGGGAGGTTGGAAGTTAGGAGGGCAGTGGCAGCTGAGCGGATTCCCTCGATTTTGGACTCGAGGAAGTCCAGCATTTTCTTGCAGTGAGAATTGGAGGAAGGTATCTGCGAGGCGTGTTGGGGAGGGCGGACGAGACGGTTAGTGGTGGAGAACAGGAGCCTGGGATTGCCCTTCGCCTCCAGGATTAACCTGGAATAGAAAGATAATTTGGCCGAGGCGAGAGCGGAGCGGTAGTTCTTAATGTGGTCCAGCCAGATGTGGCGGTGGACTGTTTGGCTGGATTTGAGCCAAGTGCGTTCGACAGCCCGCACTTGGCCCTTTAGCAAGTGGAGGTGGCTGGTGAACCAGGGTGAGGATCAGGAATAGGAGGCAGTTCGGAAAGGAATTTAAAAAGGAAAACTAGTTAGTTTCTCTATAATTCAAATGCTAACTCTTGAAACATTTGTACATGGAATTTGTACATTGGTCAATATAACTTGAGTAATGGTCAGGTAAAGTAAAGCTGAGGGAGAAGAAAAGTGAGTTGAACCTTAAGATTTTTTTGTTCCCTTTGTAGCTATGGATTTGTTTCATAATAGTGAATAAAATTTGGTAGTGATAGTTATCATGTAGAAAGCTTGGTAAAGTAGGCCTTCTGCTGGGTTTGTCATTATAACAACAACTTAGTATAGATTCAGCAACTAGATTAAAGTAAAGGTGACCTTACGCACCCCCACACATGCACGCACACACACACACACACATATATCAGGGACTCTGAGCTCACAGTCCAGGCTGACCCTCCAGCGCAGAGCTGGGGGAGAGAAACATACAGAGAGAGAGAGAAAAGAGAGAGCGCCACATTGTTGGAGATGCCGTCTTATTCCTAATTCTGTATTTTATTCCTAAGCTTTTGAAAATTGTTTTGCTTTTCTAGCACAGAGTTCATTGATGGGTATGGAACTACACCACTGATCAGACAGAAGAGAAGAGGACCTGAGTCACTGAGGTTGCCATGGCAGGCTGTTTCTATTGCGCTTACAGCAGGAACATGGAGGTGATGATTAGGGCTTGAAATGAGGTTCACAGTCTTATTGTTTGTAATGATACACACATTTGAAGCCTAACTGGTTCTTAATGTCTTTCTCACTTGATCAGTGTGGCTTGTAAGGTACAGGAAATGAGTATTGACAATGACAAGTAAATTCAGTATTTACATTTTTGCCTGTACTAATAGCTTTATTTGTGGTCAGAAAAGTAAGTCATAATACTTTGTTCTGAAGCAATTGCTGATTATTTTTCAGATCTGGATTTGATTTGATTTCTGTTGAATATGATGAACAAACAAATGTTCTTCCTTTGATGGATCCGATATCTGGACCAATGTTTCCATTGAACCCACTTGCACTGGGACATTCTGGTGAGATTCTTATTTAGAACTCAAAACCGTCGGTCTGGGTACTTCCTGCCTTTAACAACTTTGCGGTTTGCACCATTCAATATGTTTTATTCCAGATTTAATCAAACATAATAAAAAATCATTTTCTTGGAATCTGTTGAAAGCACATTTGCTGTGTTGTGTTCCCCCCAGTTAAGCACATATTGCTTAAGGTTGCAATATTGGATTTTTGAGTATTCTGAAAATGTCAGATTTTATTATTAAAGGAGATTAGATAACTAAGATTTTTTTAAAAATTCCATGCCTGCTGATTCTAGAAATAAAGTTTTCTTGTGAAATAGTACAGGCAATTGGTTGTGAAAATTGCAATTTTTCTGGACTTAATGAGCATTAAAACGATTTTATAATCAGTAGCTTTCATTTTGTACAGTAAAGGAATGATTTCTCCAAAAACACATTCTATCTTTTTAGTCAGCTGGGTGTCTGACACCTGCAAAAAACCATCACCGTGCTTAAGAGAATCTAAACTGATAGTTCCATGCATCCCACCTATACATGGAAATTCCAGAGATTATTTTATTAGAATGGAAGGCATACTCTCCTTGGAGGGATGCACCCTGCTTACTTAATTCTGGAATGTATTAGACGCAGGTTGATAAAACCAAGGTTTGGGGACCCCAGAATGTGTGTTAGGGTACTGCTAGAGGCTAACCAGCTAAAACTGCATAGCTTTTCATGGAGAGAACTGACTCGAAAGCTTTTGTGTCGATTGTCCAGCTAGGACCACCTACCCATTAGGGCTTTGGCTTGCAGTGTTAATGGGACCTGAACCAGTGAGTGGACTGGCAGCATTTGAAAGAGGAGAATCTCAAGTGACCATTATTTAACATTTAGGTGAAAAAGTTTGTACTTCTGAAAAATTATTTACAAAAAATTGCAGCGATTCAGATGAACATTTTCTTACTTTTAATAGATTAATATATGGTTGCACTGAATTGATCTGTTTGCTTCAAGGAGAGCATTATTGATTGGGTACTTCTTTTTTAAATACTAGATTTCTCTGGCAAGCAGTGTGCAGTTGGAGGTGCCAGGGAAGGTGGGGAGAAAAAACGTACGTCTGGATCATCAGGTAGTGGCAATTCAGGAAAATCTGAAACCACACAAGGCCGAAGAAGGTCAGCGCGTATCAGCAAAACCGAAAAGTTAGACAATTCTGCCAACTCGCCTCAAACATCTCAGTCAAGTTCAAGTACCTCTGTGGATAAAACATCTCCAGAGAATGCAAGAACTCCTCCAGCTAAAGCGTCAGCAAGGCAAAAGGCAAAGAGGAAATTGGAGAATGAGCAAAGAAAAAGACCGTCGGCGAAAAAGAAAACTAGGCTTACTCGTAGCTCCTATAAGAAATCCAGTTCTAGTAGTTCAGAGCCACCTGACAGTCCTTCAGTCAGTGAAAATGAATCTCAACCACAGTCTTCTGTTTCAGATAAGGAGCAATTGACCAACCTGGATAATAGTGATGTGAGTCATTCATCAGCTAATCATTGTAGTGAACAAATTAATGTGACAGAGAAAGATGATGGTAGGGAAGAAAATGTTGAACAGCAGAATGATGAAATGTCAAACAGAACCTCTTGTCCCCTCAGTGAAGAAGACATAGTACCAAGTATTGACAAGGTCAATAATGATGATGTCTCAGGAAACTCCAATCTGGAGACTAATCTTCCAATAACTACCAACAATAGCAAAAGCTCTGTGGAGCCAAACTCAGGAAACTCAGCTGAACAGAATGATGAGAATGAAGAAGATATTGGAACAGAACCAGATAATTTGAAAGAGTTAAATTCTCCTAGTGGAGATGTAGCTTGTTCTGATGTGATTAATCATGATAAAATCACTGACGATATTCAGGTAGAACATTCTGAAATGCCATCAGATGAAGTTAGTGCTAAGGTGGAAATTAAAATCCCCATAGAAGATGATAAATCTGAGAGAAATAAAGTAATGGAAATTGTGGAAACTAAGAATTATTCGGAAGAGTCCAAGCAAGCAGTTGATTGCGAAGATGATATTTATAAGCAGTCACCGGTCGCAAGTCCAAGAAAATGCATGGAATATGATCACCTCAAGAGTGAAATGTCTGTAGAGAGGACAGATCCTGATCAACTTAAGGAGGAAGAATCTGTGGTTATTGAGGATAGTCTGGATGAACCAGAGCTAGTATCTGATTGTAAGGACGATAATGGCAGACAGTCACCCAGTGAAACTCTTGAAACACTCGTAGAGGATAACCTCTTGAAGAGTCAGCTTCCTTCAGAGAATCTTAAATCTAAAACTGACTCTGTGGAAGCTCTAAGTACACCTGAGCAAGCATCTAATTGTCAAAGTGATATTGCTCAGCAGTCATCTGATGAAAGTCCTGGAAAATGTGTAGAGGATAAAAGCCTTCAAAGTGAAATAACCTCAGTTGCGTCTGACCAAATGCAAATATTTTCAGAGGTAAATGAAGGCATTATAAGTAAAAGGGAGACATCTGACTTACCTACAGATAGAATCCCAAGCAGTGGAGATGAGGTCTTTAATGTGGACAACAATGAAGTGGTGGCTATGGAATGCGATTCACCTGTTAATGATGAGATGGCTGAAATCAACATTGAAAAGCAAAATAGTTCAAAAAATAATGAAGAACTAAAACCTGCTTCGTGTTTCAGTTCCAATCATGAGGAACTGCAGGCTAATTCTGCTGCTGAAAATATTGACAAAAAACAGGATGAGGGGCTTCTTGCGAGTGAAGCTGGACCAGCAAGTGAGCTTGCGAGTGAGCCTTGCCCAGCGAGTGAGCCTTGCCCAGCGAGTGAGCTTTGCCCAGTGACTGAGGCTGGCCCTGCGACTGAAGCTGGCCCTGTGAGTGAGCCTGGCCTTAAGGAGAAAGAGAAAAATACGCCACGTCGCAAATCTCGATTCCATTCATCATCTACAACTTGGTCTCCACAAATGCAAAAGAAACCCGAACAAGAACGTAGGAGATCTAGGACCAGGTCGCCATCCCGGGAAAGAAGTGATCACCACAGTTCTTCAGACAGATTTGAACGTGAAAGAAATCGTTCAAAAGGAGAAGAAAGTGACCGAAGCAACCATGATTCACCATCCTCTAGAAGACTATCTAGATCTCCTAACCGAGATAAGGAAGGACAGGCAAGTGAAACTGAGAAAAAGGAAGGAGACCGAGAGAAAAAAAGTAGATGGCGCTCCAGGTCTAGAACTAGATCCAGAACTAAATCCAGGTCCCGGTCTAGATCTAGATCCAGAAAAAGAGATCATTTTGGAGACAAGGAGGACAAGACTAGCTTTTCTCCAGGGAGACGAGATCGAAAGATGGATGATAGCTGGAGAAATACCAGGGGAAAGGATAGATACAGAATGAGTGATAGAGAAAGGCCAAGAGGAGGCTATGATAGATTTGGTCGAGGAAGTAGGGATAGAGAATTCCAGCAATCAACCAGACATCTAGATGATCAATTGGAGACGAATGAATACTCAGATGACAGGAATCCAGATTGGATGACAGAACAATTGCATGTTATGCCTGATGCTGGTATGAGAGAGAATGAATACAGAAACGACTCCAAAAGGGAAGAAAGTCGGTATGAAAGGGATGATCCCTGGACTAATAGGAACTTTGACCTTGGTTGGAAGCGTGGCCGTGGCCGTTTTCGGGGCGGTTCATTTCAAGAAGACCAAAATGAAAATCCATGGCAAAATAGAAGATCAAATTTCTCAGGTGAGCCAAATAATTCAGGGGCATACCCAGGTCCTGGACCTCGCAGATATAATGACCGTCAACAGAACAGGTGGCGAGATGATCCAAACCCCACTACTGATGTTCCCCAAGACCGTTCAGGGTGGTCGTCCTTCTCCAGTTGGAATGCAAGAAAATCTCTACCAGCTGATGTACAAAATTACTATGCCAAAAGGGGAAGACAGTCTTCAGGTCCACAGTCAAACTGGCGAGGACAAGAAGAAGAACAGTTCCCGACCTCAGCAGAGCAAGGTATTTGTTTTTGTTGTCCTAGTCTTTCTCAATTGGAGAAATCTGCTCCTGGCAAAATCTCAAGATTATGTACTTTGAAAGCCTCGTAGAAAAACGTATTAGAACGTACACTGTACTATTCAAATGGTGGGGGTATGGGGGAAGAGCATGAGAGACACACTGAAGTAGAATGCTCTTTAGCTACACTTCTAGATTTTTAGATTAAAAAATCATTGCTGAAGCTAATTATTTAAAGTGCAGTATATCTTATTTATTTTATATGCTCTAAAAACTAGTTCACTTGAACAACACCATACCATTCAAGCCATAGAGTAGATATATAGAGAGTGAAAACTTTTCACCCAGAGGTTTTCTAGCGATCGTGCTTAAATGGCACAGTCGAAGAAGAGGGTTTTGAGGCGGGACCTGAAGGAGGCTAAGGAGGGGGCGAGGATTATAACATATATAACAGGATTATATATAATATAATGATATATAATAATTATATTATAGTTTATTATTTATAATTATATTATATATATTATATAATAATATATTTATTACATATGTTTATTATGTATCTTAAAGTTGCCATTTTTCTACTAAGTGATGTTGCAGATTGATATTTGTTCACCTAAATCTGTTAGCATGGCGGTCTCCTGTACAGTTTATTTTTTATTTAGTGTCACAGTCTACTTCAGTAGACTCACTCACCAAGGAGATGCTTTTACAGCATCCCATTGCGCCTTGCACCCAAAAGATTGTCACGGTTAAGCAATATAGACGGAGGAACATAACCAAGTCAATAATGGTTCAAGGGAAATAATACATTGCTAGTATTCTCCCAATGTTGGGATGAAATAATTTTTTGGTATGTGAGTAATAAAACACTTCTGAAAAAAAGATGCTTGTCACTCAACTAATTGTATTATATTTATTTAGTAGATCCATCGCTTGGTGTACCAGTCTTCAGCGACCAATCAAATCAACAGATGAACGGTTCTCAGCAAGCAGTTAATATAATGCACCAACCTATGAATGTTGTACCACAGCCAATGAATGCACCTCCCCAGCCAATGAATGTCTTTCCATATCCAATGAATGTCCACCCTCCTTTAATGCATTTCCATCATCCGTACAACATACACCCTCCTCCATTGAATGTACATTCAGGAATTCCTGCAGTACACCCAACTGGTGCTGGAAATCTGCCTAACAGTCCACCTCCACCACCACCTCCGCCTCCACCTTGTCAGTCAGTAAACTATGCGATTCAGCAGCATGATATGGCCCAACCTCAGGTAACTTCTTAGTCCAAAATTGCCATTCTTACCTGTTGGAACATTACAGGCAAATGGACTTTAATTTAAAAGTTCAGACTTATCTTGGGCTGAATTTAGCACATGGGCTTTTATGTTTATTTTTCTATATTGAGCTTTAATGGTATAATATGTTAGATAAAGTGCAGTATTTCTAAACTGTCCCATTTTACATTTTATAGATATATTTCACTTGAATAGACTTGATTCAAATTTCTCATACATTTCTGAGTATAAGTGCATTTTAGTTGTTGATCTTGAGATCTATTTTGCCAACCTATTGGTTTTATTGTTGCACTTACATAAAATAGGCTCTTTCTACAAATGTTATCTTGTCTAGTTTTCAATGATATTCTCATTCTTCCTTGAAATTGTTGAAAAGACAAAGCTGCAAACCAGTTTTGTTGACAAGTAATTACAGATGATAAGACTATTCTGTTTGCATTTGTGGAGTCCTGTAGTGTGTTGGGAAAACCTGGGTTCGATTCCTGGGCAGGGCGAAACGTTAGGCAAGTTTCCTTTCTCCATATGCCTCTGTTTACCTAGAGATAAGTAGGAACCCAGTTGTTTGTCGATTGGTGAAACGTTTTTCCAGGGTAATAATCTCTTTTTTAAAAAATATATATATATTTGGTCACTCAATCCATGACTGCTTATGGGAAACTGCTGTGCCACATTTTGCCCACAAAATATACAGTTGATTTACTTTACAGTATATTCTGTGAAGTGTTTTGAGACATCTCGAAGATGTGTTATATCAAATGCAAGTATTATAGGGATGGTAAACATTTGTATTGGTTATTCATTAATCTCTTATGTATTTATGTAGGTGTATACTGAGGGTTATAAACATGTATCATGTCTGTAACAGAAATGTCTTAAAATGGACAAGATGCTCCCATACTCAGAGTTTATGTCGCTATGATGTCCTTATTTGTACCTAGACTTTTTTTAAGCTTTTGCCTGACTTCTCTGAAACGTTAGGCATCCAACTCTTAACAATGATTATATTGTTGGTAGGTTAATGTGCCCTGCAGTGGTTCTGGAGATCAATTTAGAGCTGTCATTTTGAAAAATTTAAAAACAATTTTAAATACTAAATGCATTGAGTACTTTCAACTTATGTAGCCAGTCCTTCATGTTGTGCAATAATGTTCTATGTTGATATTTTTGCCCACAAAATATACAGTATTCTTTGAAGCGTTTTGAGACATCTCAAAGACATGATAAGGCACTATATCAAATGCAAGGATTATTATTGTTATTAAATCACACTGACTTGTTGAAATGTTGATGCAAACTTTACCCTATAAACTATACAATTTCTAACAGTGCAGTGCTTTTACATGGTTCTCAATGTTTAGGAAATTATTCAGTTATATATGCAAATCCTGGTAGCCTGCCAGTTTGAATAGTTTTTACACAGTTCATCTTGGATATGTGCAAATCCCCATGTAAATAGTAATTATGACATTCAGTGATATCTTGCCAACATGGTATAATAGGAAAAATGGCAATGTTTAGCCATTGCATCCTCTTAACCATTATATTATATAACAAATGTACAGAGGGGCTCTCCTTTAGTCGGCATATATTCATATTACCAATTTGGTACCAACTTTTGTTATTAATTGACCAATATTACACTCTAGTCAATATAGCAGCAGTGCTTTTTCCGTGCAACATTACATAGGTGAAATTGCTCCATAAGGTTATTGAGGGTTTACACCCAAAACTCCCTTTCCTTCGCATGAAGAAAGATGTGCAAATATATCCAGACTTTTACATGTTAAGTAGATACACACCATTTGAACAGCACCTAAAGTCAGTTTGTTCAAAATTTTTGTTGCACAAATGAAGGAGTGAAATCTAGTCGCATCATATGTAGGAATCAAAATGCTAAATTGGAATATTAAAAATCATGTCCACAGTTCATTAAAATACATTTTTTTAAATATTGTCTCTGCACATTTCTAGAAATGTTTGACACTATTTTACTCTGACTTTGCTTTAGATCATACCTCACCAAACTACAGTTACTGAGGTGGATTTGAAGAGTAGTTCTGTTCCTGCTCCTGCGCCCACCCCAACTGTTGGGTCAAGCAAGGCAGCACAGTGTCCAGTTCCAGTGGATATCGTCTCTTCAGCCTTCCAGTCAGTACAACAGGTCTTTGCATCTCTTTCAACTTCAAAACCTGTACCAGAAAAAGAAATCATTAAGGAAGAATTTGAAGCAGACAAACCCAAGAAAGAAAAGGCAAGTCCAGTGTAGTCAGAATATCAGTGATTAATGTTCATTTGAATTGCTCCTGTGGCAAAACAAATTAGTAAATGATATTGCATGAGTTTCCCACAGATACAATTATATCAGTTGTTGGCAAAAAGCAAATAATAACAATACTTGCATTTGATATAGTGCCTTTCAGGTCAGGTGCTTGTCTCAAAGTGCTTCACAGGATTTTCCTGTAAAGTGTAGTGACAGTAGGTGAACGTGGCAGCTAATTTGTACATAGCTATGCTCAGGAAATGACCATTGAGTGAATGACTAGGTTTTATCTGGGAGTTTGTTGGCCAGGACACTTGGGAGAAACTAGTGCTTTATTCTTACATTATGCTCACATTATATCATTGTTTCAAATAGAAAATCTATTGCATTAAAATGATAATGCACTTATAATTTATGTAATATTAACATTCCACTTGCATTACCTTATAGCTATCATCCTTTTGTTAATGTGCCTGATTGTAGGACTTTTCATTGAGTTCAGCCAGATTTTGATAAAGAAATGTGTAACTTATTAAAATTGCAATTTGTATTGTATATTATGTAGAAATTTCATATTCAAGAAAGAGCTGTAGAGGAAGTGAAATTAGCCATCAAGCCTTACTACCAAAAGAAGGACATTACCAAGGATGAATATAAAGAAATTGTTCGCAAAGCAGTGGATAAGGTATGTTCTAAAATTACCTTGAGATTGCAAAATTGTTCTTGTGGGGTTGAGAGATGGATAGGGAGAATTTAAAGAAACAAGGTGAAGTGGGTAATGGTGTAAGGTTAACTATCATGTAAGGTGGTTTGTAATTTCCTCTTTCCTTTTGACTTCCAAGTTTCTATGTCATTAGCCACTATGGATAGTCAGTTTGTGATGATGAACCTAAATTATTTAATTAATTTATTGGCGCCTCAAAGGTTAAACAATGTCACAGAGCCTAAGGCCAATCTAACAATCTTATGTATAATCTCTCTTATAATAAAACTTGTGATTTAGTGTCTTATGTTGAAAACTTGAAATGATATTTCCACTTTGATATTACTATTTCATATCTCCAATGACCAGTATATTTGATTATTTTTGTTTTTCTAGGTCTGCCATAGTAAAAGTGGTGAAGTCATCCCCGGGAAAGTAGCCAACCTGGTAAAAGCATATGTAGAGAAATACAAACATGCAAGGAAAGGGAACCCAAAGCAAAACCCTGAAGACTTCAGCAGCTCTGGGAACAAATCATTTTAAACAAAGAAAAACCTGTTTTGTCACCAGTGTAGGCGGTGTAGGAACTTTGACCATCTGTGTATCTTTTCCTACAAGGGTTTCGTGGTTTTCTAAACTTGAGGCATTTGCGACACTACAAGAACATGAAGTGAAAGCATGCTGATAATTAGTGATTTTTGAGCTGTAAGGATTCTCTCAAAGTATAACCCGTGCAGCAGGTGCTGCAGGAGTGCATCCTGTGGGCTGTTACTAGAACAGCTGTATAAATGTGATATTTGTTAGATTTCCTAATGTATCAAATTATCTCTTACTGATTTTTTTTTGTTAATTCTAGTTAAGTGTTTTTGTAAACCGTTTGTATGCTGTACAAATGCTTCCAGGTTTAACTGGAAGGATCTGGATCATGTAGTTGCACTAAAAACTGGAGTCTGAAGCTGATCAGCAGTTTTAGTGCGTATAGGGTCTAAACAAAGACAATTTGCTTCATACTGCTAGGACTGTTGCTAAGTGGAAAATGTTTGATAAAAAATTTAATTCTATAGTTTCATTTTTGAGAAAAGCAGAAAAGAATGATAAAACTGTGATGGGAGTATTCTGTAATACTTATCCTACACACCAAAATAAATTTTCTGCTGCTTGTCAAATCAGTTTCTGCGTTTTGTTCAACACATGTATAGGTTTGAATTTGCCCAAATTCAGATTATGAAGCAGAGCTGTAAGTCTGTAATCTTACTTCACAATTACCAAAAAGATGAAATCCCAAACCTTTGTCAAATTAGATTTGTTTATATTCTGTTAAAAATATAGCTACATTCCATTTAAGATAATTATTGTGTCATTGCTGCTGATGTTTTGATAAATTTAAAAATAACAGATCAATGACAATGGACACTGATTCATTTTTGAGTATCAGGGTTTAGATAATCATATTGTACAATGGCAATTAGCTCAAGGTCTTAAATATTTAAATGGAATTTAATTTGTTATTGCTTAAAAAGGCTGATCTTCAAGTGCAAACTAATACCAATCTACAGATTCTGTAACAGCATTACTAATCGTGCTTGATCATATTCTTGTATTGGGAAACAAATGAAATCATGTAAAACAGTACCACAAATTCGCTTTCAGTTTTTGTGTTTTAAAATCTAGTTTTTTGTTTCACATTCACTTATCTCAGCAAGTCTCTCACTGAGATTTTCTTTTTGAGTTCTGTCATTTTTATTGTAAAATTTCTTAGCACTTTTACACACTTACATTTTTAAAAGGGTCGACTTTATGAGGAAGCTTGAAATGTGTGTATGTTGGTGGTATCTTTTACCTAAAGCTTTACATTTATGTCTGCAGAATATCCTTTGATTGATGGAAGGTTTGAGGGTCAGTTTAATTTGAATTTTATTAATGTTGGAAGTTTCAGTTAATGTTTGAAATAGTCTTTAAACTGACTTCAATCAAATATAAATATCTATTGATATTTACAATGTGTATATCCAAAATAGTTTAATATTTTAAGTCTATTGAGGCTTTAAAATAAATAAGATCAAGAATTCCAAATTCCTCATTCATTGTGCTCAAATCCTGTATATGTTTATGGATCTAATTGGATCACAATTAAAGAGAAACATCTAAAATAGGCACATTGTCATCCTACACTTAATGACAATTGCTACCACAAAGGACCCCAAGTCTTTTCAGTGGATTTAAAATGCAGTTTGAGACTAAGTTTGCACCAACATCTCGCTTACTTTGTATTTAAATGTTCCAGTGAAAGACAGGCTCTTCTTTCTTGTGGGAGGAAATCAGATCTGGTGCAGGATTATAGAGATACATTTCAAAAAGACATTGTCATTCAAAGACGATCTCAAATAGAGGGACATTACACCCCTTGGTGTCAGTGTAAGCAAATGTTGAGTTTTGGGACAATATTGCAAATATATGCTTCCATAAATGAGATAGAGGATTGAATCCTGCTGCAGTACTTCATAGTCTCCCAAATAGAAAATTAGGGTTGAAAGATTTTCTTGAATTACCCAAAGTCAAACTATTTTGGGATGTGTTGGCTCACTTGGGTAAAGGGTTTTGGGGGACTCATCTCATACTCCCAACTCAGATTTTTGTATATCCCTGCATTGCTACTAATAATGAAGAGCCTCAGTTTGACTAGCCATGCTTCTTGTACTGTAATCTAGTTAATGAACTATTTTAATAATAATGAACTATCTTCTCCGGCTTGGTGTATGTATCAATCTGTAGAAAATATAGTTGCTAAGATCTTGCACATCTTTTAACAAAAGCGAATAGTAATGCATAGGTCACAATGGAAAGGATTTTCCCAGGAACTAATCTCAGTATACAGATGGCTGTGTAAATTTTGTGACTGAAAACAGTGGTTTACAATTGCCTTGTGATTAGATCGCTTTCTTGAAAGTACTTCAGGGCATCTGTTATATTTTTCAGAATACATTAACAGGTTGGTGTGCCAACATCATCTTGAATTGCCACTGCTGCCTGCCAGTGCATTTTGTGTAACCCATTAAACAATAATATTGTCCTAAGTTTATGCTACACAACATGTTCCACTCAAGGCACTAATGGACACTAAGAAACAGTAATAGGACTACTTCAGAAGATCTTTGGCCAAATTACCACAATCCTTTCAGGTCAGAAAAATCATAGGTTAGCCAGTTAATTTCTATGTCCAGACAGCTCTTCAAACATCTATAATGTGTAATCTTATACAGTTCACATTTTATAAACATAATTCTACTGGAAAAAACCCTTTTTACATAATTGTAATGTCAAAGCCAATATGTGTCCTGTAACTAACTTGTGTGTCAGGGTTCATTTTGCAAGTAAGTTTGTTTACTGGGAGGACAGTTTCTGTTAGAACTTGCTGATGGAATTATGAGAAATTGATTATAGAATCAATAAATTGCTCATTACATGATCATCAATCTTTAGAATTATGTTGGTCTACTTTATCTTGATTTTTGAATAAATGCTTTCAATTCATCCACAGTGGTCCTATCGGTTATAGGTTTAGTGTGGTTTTATCTCAAGTTGACACTGAATTTCACATTGAGCAGTAATAACTAACATTCAGGAATATTTTGATGAACAGGAATCAGTGCAGCACTTGCATTTATTTTTTAAACTACAAATTGGCCAAGTAGAAATGCTTGATGTATAACCATTTGTGCTCCAGTTTTATGATATTACTGATTTTGAATAGTTACAATTTGAAGCTCTCTTCCCTTTTTAATAGGCAAGTTCAAATCCCGCTGAGAGTTTATATATCTTGCATGCAGAGATTTGAAATCCAATTCATAAAGAAATCAACTCATGGGTCATCAGCTGGGCCAATAGAAAAGTGCAGCCACACTTTTTCCGCGGAATCAATTACAAATGCAATTTCTGATCCGTGGGCCTCTCGCGCTGTTTATCTGACATCAGTTTGGGCGGGACGATTTCTCACACATGCGGGGTGCAGCGTAATAATAATCCTTGCATTCGATACAACATTTTTCACTTCTAGGTGTCTCAAAGTGCTTCAAAGAATATACTGTAAAGTGAACTGGCTGTATATTTGTAAGCACATTGTGTGTGTCTGCCTGTGCCTGTCAGTGTCTCTTCTATGTGTGCGCGTTTACAATTCTCTGTGTGAATGTGTCTGTCTCTTTTTATCAATAAAGTGAGAAAATGTAGCAGTAAAATGTACCTCGATAACACCAACGCCTCACAATGTTTGGCAAATTTCCACTTTTCTATTGGCCCATCAGCCACTGCAAGTGAAGGGATGTGTGAACACCACTGAACAATGAGCATATTCTCACACAAGTGGTATCACTATTTTGCTTTTTTTCCAGTTCATCTTTTTGTTTTCACAGCCTAGCTTCCTTCTGTACTGTTATTTGCTTTTTTTAAAAAAAACTGATGCAAGAAACAACTGAAATAACCAAGTAAAAAACAAGAACAAAAATGTCCAGTCTTTTATTTATTTAAAACTATAAACAGTCACCAAAGTAATTAAAGTTATTCTAATGTAAAACTGTTGTATGTTTTTACTGCACATTCTACAGACAGAAGGAAATGGAAAAGGAGAGAGTTCTCCTTTGAATGTCAACACAGCAGGAATACGCAGTAATGGAAGATCACATAACACACCGTTCAGGAAACAACCTGGAGACATGACTGGTTCTGAACAGGAATGTGGCATGGGATAAAGAACGGAAGAACAAACACTAAAATACTGCACTATAATTGCATTGAAAACACAAGTAATGAGTAGTGAAAATACCATACCTGCACCTAATGTAAATATAACTGGGAAAAAACTGTATAAAAGTCCTTGTATTTAAACCAATTTACAAATACAAAAAAAAATCCTGTACAAGCTTGTACTAAGTGATGTCTTTCAGTGGATCCGAGTTAGAGTAAACCAAAATAACCTTCAACAGTTTTCTTCTACAAAATGACATGAGATATATTATTCCATACTCTTTCAACCAGCAAATGAGTTCTACAAGGTGTATTATACAAAAAAAATCAGTTCAACAAAACTGTTTTTGACTTTACAGCATCAGTACCTTTGCAGAATTATTTACAGAGACTTAAAGAACATTCATCCACTGCAGAGAATATATCACAATTACTTACAATTGACAGGAAATACTAGAAACAAAAAAGTCCTGGATCCTAACAATAATGCTCATATGACACCACAAGTTGGGTTTCCAGTGATTGCAGTGGTATGAAAGTTGGTTTATTTTATTCACAAATATATACAACAGTTGATAGATCATACTGGTAAATTTATGATAATAAATAAGTGAAAATATATTGGCTCAAATATGAAAAACAAGCTATTGATCTCTAAACAAAAAAGTACATCATCACTAGAAGTAAATTGCTGCCTCAAATGGGAGGTTTTACAGCTAGTATCAATTGTTTTTTGTTTTATTAAACCTATCTGTCACTAATTCTGAAATATAAAAATGTGCTCATATGGGGTACAGGGTAAAAATATTTAATGCTTTTATTCTAACCGTGTGGTCTCAATATTTAATATTTCAAACTTTCTATTTAAAAAAATCTGATCACACAGTTGGGTCTATTAAAAGCTGGTCAACAGTGGGGTTCAGCTTGTGATCACAATGCAAAGTTTCTTTTATGCATCAAGAAAAAGAGAAAAACTTCATTCACAATGTTCTTTTCTCATTAAGACTTGTTGCTTTTTTTTCTCAGAAATGGTGCACATCCTAAGATAGAATAGTTTACACTGGCCACATGAACATGAGATCTCAATGCATCATTTCACAATGTATTATCTGGTTGTTGCCATAGGTCTGGATGAACAAGCTCAAAAAGGCATTTGGCAATTGTGCTGGAAGCCTCCATGTTGCTAAAAGCTAGTAGAGACAAATGGCTTTCGTGCCTTTTCAATAACCTGTAGGGGAAAACAACAGTGAATTAACAGGCTTTAAATGCAACAAACAACCCATCATAAATTACACGTTTACATAGAATTACATAGAACAATGCAGCAGGACATCATGAATTACTCATGCAAAATATTAAGTGATAGGAATAAAACATAGTCATCAAATGTTTGTATATTAGAAAAAAGCAGCCTAAATCTATTGGGAGTAACTCTCACCATAATTACTGAAGTGAAAGTTGAGATAATTCCAATAAAATGAAGAGCAAATCCTTCAGAGCAATTTCCTATAGAAGAGTGCACTAGTGGTATCTCTGATAAATATAAGTTTGTCTGAATTTAGATACTCTAAAGAATGGAGATGCTACGAGACTGCATGTACTAAAATTGAATAGAATAGGCGCCTCTTTCAAAAGAGACAACATTCTTGGGAACTGGGAGAACTTAAATCTTAAAAACAAGGCTAAAGTTGTCTATGGTGCAATTTGAACATATTTAACAGTAAATTCTGTAACCCATTCTATCTAACTACCAAGGTTTTTTCCCTTTTTTATTCGCTATAAGGCCTGCTGTGGGGATTCCTACTAATTACGCCAATTGATTGTATAATTTCACAGATATCTGTATGGAAAGCAACAGTGCAGTAGAGCCTTTTTACTTGGGAACAATGTCATGTGCAGAGTCTCTGATGCCTCTTTGTACAAAGATGCTGGACTGTGGCAATAAATGGAAGCCTAAGCTCTGACAGCTCTCTACAGCTTAGACTGTGTGGTTTTGTATTTACAAATGGCATAAGCCACCTCAACATAGTGGATCTGGGCCATATATTAATAATCTTCATGGTTTTAATTTTTTTCTGGAAATATCAGCAGAATTTAAATGAGGGAAGTCATGGGGAAAGGATTTAAGACACTGATCGTGACTATGTGGGTCAAAAATGGCTAAACTCAAAGCTTAGACTCTGCATTATATAAAATCAAACAAAGCATAGAAATTCTTATGCCAACAGTCCATAAACAATAAACACAAATACAAGAGAGAAAAAAGGCTTCTAGCACAGCAAGGCAAGATGAGAAACGGGAAGAAAAAAAACGGTGTCATCCCAGGTGCTCTTAATAAGCCATTGAGTTCCACCAGAGAAGTTGCCATCTAATTTTCAGTTAAGACAGGTTAAGATACTTATGTCACTAATAAATGCTCCTTCTTGATTGGTTGCCTATAACCAAATTTGATTTAAATTATAAAATAGCGAACTTACCTGCGACCACGATCTGAATATTTAGCAACATTTTTTAAAATTAAGGCAGCTGTCAGTCGAATGTGTTTTGTTATTGGCCCCTCCTTTTCATCCTGGAACAAAATTGGCAAACTAGTTAGCAATAAAGAAAACACTTGTAAAACACAGAATTATAGAAAGCAGGATGCTATTGAATCTGTATCATCTGTGCCGGTGCTAGCTCTCCCACTTTTCATACCCACTTTTAATATAATTTTTCCTCGATTATTTATCTAATTACGTTCTAAATGTTGTTCTGGACTCCGTTTCAAGAGCCATTTACATCAAGGAATTCCAACAATTCTCTGTGCAAAAATATTTCTTCTAACTTCCACTTCTACTCAAGGAAGTAAACCAATTCATAATTAAGTAATGCTTTACCAACTCACCACATAATCTCTAAATGCAAGGTTTCGTGATCCTCTCCGCAATGCCACTAGCGCTGCACCTGCTTGACTCACAATACTCTTCGGCAATTTAGGAGTGGATATGGCAGCTGTGTGTCTGGAGAAATAACAAGAGGTTAATAAAGCCAACACAATCACTCATGTTGTGTTCTCCTCCAATAAAACACATATAAATTTTTTTATTACTAGAAATGAAGGGATAAAAATGTTTGAAGTCAGGAGGCAGAAGTGGTGTAAATAAACTTCTATTTATCTATTAAAGGATAAGTTTTGAAGGAGGACAGAAAAAGCTAGACTTCAAACCATGGCTGTCTCATGCATAATTCAACAACATGGGACTGTTCTGACCTGTGTCCCACAAATTTTGTAGAGTGCAGCTTCTTGGATGGTTATGGAAGTCTATAACCATCTTATGGGATCAAGTACAGAGGCACCCTCAATGTGACATCATCTTAAACAGCAACTGATTCAATGTATTTATCACAATAGTGATATCTTGCTTACTGGCAACACATTTTTTAAAACAATATTGATTATTTTCTCAGTTCCCCATTTCCCAAGGGCAGGTGATCTGTTCCCCGACCTGAGGGGACTCAGCATCCCAATTATCTTGTTTTTCCTATCGTAGCGTTGGTGTTAAACTCTAGAAAATGTAATTCTAGCGTAAGCACATATGGGTCTTTCTCCCCTTACTTATTAGAAGTTTGCTGGTTTCCAGTTTGTGCTTGGTCTTCAAGCTGCTTCAGTGCTGCTAGGAGAGTTTCTCGTGTGCAGTGCTTATCCTAGTTATAAACAAAGTCACATATTGATTATAGCAACCATATATTAAGCAACCAAACATTTGTCTTCAGATCAAAATGACCATTTTGCAAATCACTATAGCTACATACCTGCAGGTGAGTGATGAAGGAGAGCCTCTGTCGTGGGAATTGTTCACAGCCCTCCCACATACATACCCCTGGGTAGATATCTTTCCCTCCATGCTCAGTTGCTGCATGATAGTACACCTGAGATGGAGAATCAAACCATCTGAAATTTGACAGAAACTTTCTTTTAGTTCAATTCCAGTGCAGCTCATTTAACATCAATTGCTGGTTCTCAAACATATAGTTAAAATCCAATATTAATATTATCATATTATCATCAATGCTGAGTTAGCAATCGTAATTGGCGCTAGTCAGGCTGCTATAACCCGGATTAGGAAAGAATAATGTGGGTTCATTGATCTTGCTCTTTCAGTTCATGGCAGCTCTTCACCTTTTTAATCTCACTGCCCTGCCTTAAAATCCCTTAACATCTCGATTCCCAAAAATCTAAATAGCAAACTCTGACCCCACTTTGAAAAGGTTCCAGCTGCTGATTGCTATCAAATGTTCCCCTTTGGAAGGCTGATAGATAAGGACACCTTTGATCTCAATTATGATGTCCAAAGGATGAATATCCAGCTAAACATGGACGTCCTCCCGACGTGAAAGGCGCTTTACAAATATAATTTTGTATTGTAAACTAGCTCCAGCTCACACCTTATGACTTGCTTCTTGGGCAAGGTATAATCGCGAGTCTCGCATTCATGGAACTATAATAAAACATCAGTTAAAGTTTTTAGTAGAGGATTAGAGAAACAAACTGGTTTTCATCCTAGGAATGAATGTTACCCATTAGTAATCCTGAGTCATTTGGTTGCTCATCCTTGGGCAACTGGAACACTTGCAATTAACCACCTTAGAGGTGGTTAATTGCAATTGAAAACTTATTATTACAAGATTTCTCTTATAAGGATCAGAAATTATGATCTTTAGAAAGTAAACATAGAAATATCCTCAACAGATTTGCCTTGCACTTGAGCTAATGTATTGTGGTATACAAAAACAAATAAAATTTTATATAGCACCTTTAACATTTGGAGGATGTCCCAAGGCGCTAGACAGTCAGGGATTTTAGACCCAAACTGGGGGTTGGGATCAGGAGGGTGGAAAGCAGAGAGGGAGACCGAAGGCACAGTCAATGAAGAGATCTTGAAATGGGCCTTGAAGGAAGCAAGTGAGGGAGCAAGGCAAAGGGACTGTGGGATAGAGTTCGAAAGGGTGGGATCAGAGTTTGCTATTTAGATTTTTGGGAAGCAAGATGTTAAGGGATTTTAAACCTAACTGAAGGCCAAACTGCCAATATGGAATACAGTGAGTGTTGATGCACATGATGTAAGAAATCAGCAGTACTTATGAGAAACCACTGTGGGGAAAGCTATCTATAACTTCACAATTTTGCAAAAACATGCACATATCTCCAACAGCAGCTACTTTAAAAAGCAGCAAACTGAACAGAGATCAAACTGCTACTCACAGAGGAAGATCAGGTCAGAGTAACTGTTATAATTGAACTTAATCAGATTTTCTTTACAGTGAATTCGAACCTCTATTTGGTTAAGCATTTTAAGGCATTAATTCAATATGAAAGGCACTATACAAATGCAACCTGTACCATATGCAGGTCACTATTCTCAATACTAGCAATGGAAACAACAATTAAGGTCACCCAGGGCAGAATTATACTCTAGTTACATTTTTTTTTAAAAAAGCACAGAACTTTTTTCAAGGTTCATTCCTTACCACAAGGTGGAAAAATGGCCTCAAAGTGAGAGGGAGAAAATATGCAAGCCTTAATTCAAATTGTTTGACATAAACATTCTAAGTATTTTAGAACAAAAATATTTGCATAAGAATGTAAGAAATAGGAGCAGGTGTAGGCCATTCGGCCCCTCGAGCCTGCCCTGCCATTTAATAAGATCATTGCTGATCTTTTAACCTAATTCCATTTACCCGCCCTATCCCCATATTCCTTTAGTTTTTAAAAATCTATTGATCTCAGTCTTGAATATGTTCAATGACTGAGCATCCACAGCCTTCTGGGATAGAGAATTCCATAAATTCACTGCCCTCTGAGTGAAGAAATGTTTTCTCAACTCAGGTCTAAAAGGCTGACCTTTAATCCTGAGATTATGACCCCTAGTTTTAGATTCTCCAGGGGAAACAGTCTCACAATATCTACCCTGTCAAGACCCTTAAGAATCTTATAGGTTTCTATAAGGTTATCTCTAATTCTTCTATATTCTAGAGAATATAGGCCTAGTCTACGCAACTTCTCCTCGTAGGTCAACCCCCTCAACCCAGGAACCAATCTAGTGAACCTACATTGCACCCCCTTTAAGGTGAGTATATCCTTTCTTAGATAAGGAGACCAAAACTGCACACAGTATTCTATGTGTGGTCTCACCAAGGCCCTATACTTGCCTGCTCAGTGCCTCACAAAGAGCTAGGAACACGTAGTTCACTCAAAGTTAGTATTGGCCACAAAATACTGACAGGATGCATGGGATTGTGGCAAGAAAAATGCATACTGCATGTCATCTGACTTTACTTTCACTAACAATATCTAATTCCCCTCCTCCCCAAAAAAAAGTGTTGGGGAAAAAAGATTCTTCTATGTCACTTAGAGGGGTCCAGGTAAAATCCAGAAGGTCCCAAGTATATTTATAGTTACTTTGAACATAACTGCTGTAGGGAAATAACATTTTTGCCTATAAAACCAATGTATTACTTTATACTGTAATTCCATCTGTACAGAACAGAAACATCAGTACACAAACAAGCTCACTGTTTCCTCAAGGCAAATTTCCAACCTCAGTCAAGTTATCTTGAAAGGGAGTGAAAAGCCAAGAGAGAAAATTCCATCTCATTACATGTCAGTACTGGTAATGCTTCAGGAGCATATTAATCTACTATTTGAAACCATCTGTTGAGCAGGGTGCAACGTTTTTTAAAAAAAGTTGCAAAAGATTTCTGGGGAGGAGGGAAAAGTATATTAATCTATAGTTGTTCACCTTTTGCAGGCTTGCCACAAGCACATGAAGTTCTGCCCTGCTTTTCTTGGTGGCGCTTCATGATGAGTTGATGGAACTGGGTGTTGAGGTTGAGAGCTGATCTGCGGGCCCACTGCTGGTGATGTTGATAAAGGACTAGACTGCAGGAAACCAAGTCATACAGGAATCAACACCAACATTCTTAAAGCAAAATAACCTCAAACCAAATATTTTATTGCATAAATATTTCTGAAGCCTGTATTGCTAAGTGCTTTGAATAAGGTGGAATACTGAAAACTTGTTAATAAAAATAAGCTTAAAAGAAAATGTTTGAATTATAGTGTTGTAATGATACTGGAACTAAGAAAGTGACATCAATTAGAACACATTAAAGGTCTTAATGTCCACTATCAAGACTTGAAATTACTGTAGATTTAAAATTTAAATACAGAAAGATACTGTAAAAATACATTAAATAATTCAGCATTTTGATTTTTTAAAGTATAATTCTCAGGTTTCTACTGCAATGTACAAGTGAAATTGTTTTAATCAAGCAATTATCCAAACTAGCTGGACCTCTAAAAATCTTGGGTTCATTTGATTATAGAATTAAGGTACAATCAGATTCTTGAAAATAGAGTGTACAAACAATTTGTAACATATGTATACATGTTTTTAATGACAGCATGATGAAACAATAGAATATCCTAATATTTCAAGGAATTCAATGGAAGTTCTGTATATTTACATGTCTACACTGCAGTAACCCAGAATGAAATATGAAGCAAGCTCTCTGCACTCATTTCTCACTCATCCAAACCAGGGTGTTCACCGACTATAGAATCACAGAACCTTTTCCATCACAAAAGATGGTACATGTGCTGGTTTTCTGTAAGAGCTGTTTAGTCTCTTTCCCCTGCTTCTTGTTCACACCCTTTTACATTTTCCTTTTGAAATAGTCTTCTTTTAAATAATTGGCCTGCTGTGGATTTCTAGAATTTTCTGATATTTTAGTTTGCAATAGACTGTGTACCTCTGGAAATCAATCTACATTGAAGACAACAAACCAAGCAAGTAATTATCAGTCACTGTGAAGTACACAAAATTAATGAAGCCAGCTGCTGGTATAAATTGGTCTTTAAACCAAGCAAACACTTTTCAACCAACATGTTCAAGTTTGTTTTGAATCATTAACAGAACATTAAGATTTTGTAAAAGACTGTAAGGAGTTAATTGTAAATAAAATCGACAAGTATCAACTCAATTTTCCCAGTGCGCTAACCGAACAAACTACTGTAAACAATGTGAAAACAAACAGGTGCCTTGTTCAGATATATAGCATATCACTGTTTCAAGATACAGAAGTTTAAAAATAATAATCCTTGCATTTGATATAGTATTTGATATTCGCCCACAAATATACAGTCAATTTACTTTACAGTGTGTTCTGTGAAGCGCTTTGGGACATCCTCCCGACGTGAAAAGCGCTATATCAAATGCAAGGATTATTATTATTATTAGTAGTAGTACCTTTCACATCAGGAGTACATCTCAAAACACTTCAAAAGATATACTGTACAGTGTATTGATGGTATATTTCAAGGTGAACCTACCAGCCACTTGTGCACAACCAATGTTCCATAAACATCCAGAAAGTTTAGATCACAGGCATAGCTGAATATGCCAGGTCAAACTTGCTACGATAGTGGGTTCAATTAAATTGAATACAAGTTTAATATTACCATATTGGAATGAAATGTGTTATTCACAAAAGACTTCAAAAATACCAAATTTATTCAAATCAACCAGGTGCATATCATGCAAATTAGTAGGAACTTTGCTCCTGTACAATTATTTTCTGGGTGTGCCAGAGAGGAACTCTTGGTCAGGTGACACACCTTCTGTTTTCTGTCTGATTCAATATTTGTGAATCCAATTGTGAATCTAATTGCATTTTAAATCCAACTGTGAAACACCCTTTAAAGCATATGATGAAGTGTACAGAACATATAACCACAAAATATAAATTCATGCCACGTTTCCAAACTAAATCATAAAACATTCCAGCAATTTTTTTTAAAACCTTTCATATTTTCATTCATTCTATTAAAATAAATGATGGCTAATTTCAACAAAACAATTACAACAAGCTTAAAAAATACAATACCAAGAACATCAGTTGATGTAATGATTAAATAATTCTAGGGAATATTCCAATCCAATACTCTCATTTTAAAGCAGAGATCTGGCAAACAATATACATTATTTTTCAATGAGGATTTTTATACTCATCTCTACACAGAATACTTAATGTTTTCCTTCTTTTAATATGTATTGAAGGGATTAATAGTTTTATAATAATCTTTTCATTTGATATAATGCCTTATCACGTAGGTGAAATGACTCAAAGCACTTCACAGGATTTACGGTGTTGTGACTACATATTTGTCAGCAAATTTCTTTGAATCAAGGAAAATTTCTACTGTTAAATTATTGTGAAATTGCTTTCAACTACATAAATGGTCAACTTCCTGATCATAAGGGCACTGCAAAGGTCACTTTCTGTGTGAGCCCTATGAAAATAAGCTGTGAACTGAAAAACATACAATGTATTAACAGCTTTCACTTTTGGATGTAGAAGATGAAAGCTTTTATATTCTTGCCGCAATAATCAGCTAAACTGAAACCTCTTACAGCTTTGCGTTTTCTTTATTTTCAAGTGTGGTTTAGTGGAACCTCAGAAATATTTATAGAAACCTAAAAATACTCAAGTCATGAGCGTGAAACTGATATCATTGTACACTCATGCTCCAAGCACTTTTGGAATGCATGATTGGTCGATAATACCACATTTTTCAATTTTGTTTGAGAGTGTTATTGCATTAATTAATTTAAGTGACCTATTACTACTCATTTACATCAGTGAGACACACAGGTTTGTGTAAATCTCACTTAATAGGGTTCCTCATAATATTCGCTGGATTGACAATCCATTAAGTAGTTAAGTATTACTAAAAAAACTACTTTGTTTCCCATTAAATACAATTTTCCTCAGTCATATAATTTGCAAATAAGCTTACATATTTTGGATGGCATACATAATGGATAATGAGATTTTCTGTATGTGGCTTGAAGACATTGTTTTTAGCAACAAATTTAAACCAATAAGATGCCGGATTTGGTACTGCACTACAATGACTGTGCTACTATGTTTTGCAATTATTAGATTATACCAAAATAATTGGGCATTGTTGCCTGTGTATCCAACACACGCATCTTCTGGGCCCGGAATGGAGACCACTTCATGGGTCTTTTATTCTAAAAAAAGATTTTGGCCCTTACCCTCAACTCTGATTTTTACATTTTTTAAAAAAAACGATGTGCGGTTCATTACTCTTGGTCATCCGGCTCAAGCATCTACCAGACAGAATTGAAGTAGTAATAGGGAAATCAAATTAAGCATGAGGAGGATTAAAGCTATAAAATAAGTTGTTAGTAGTGAAACGATGTAGATTTTGCTACTATGGAAAACAGAATACATAATGAGCAACACATAAAATAGAGCAAACTTGCTTTGTGAAGTTACAGCCTTAGCAAAAATGAACTTTTCTGAAACCTATTGATCTGAGGTAAGCAATCTGAAAAATTGTCGGAATGGACTTCATTGTTTTAATGAATCTGCATAGTTACTTCTGGTTAAAAGAAACAGCTGGTTAGAAATAAAATAGTTTTAAAAAAGTCTTAAAAATTAAATTCTTTAACAAAACTAAAACTAGCAGGTTAGAATAAAGTTGAGGTCTAATGAGATCACCAATTTCATATTGTCCATCTGCAAGGTTGATAAAAGTTTATAATTTAAAAACAAAGTGGATTATTTCCCACTTGTTGGTAAATTTATCAGCCTTACTGGCAAATGTGTATTATTTTCTGCTTATCAATAATTTGGGTTATCACTGAATAATTTGTACCACTCTTGAAACCATGGTAAACAACTTGTACTAGAATTTCCTATTGAAACAGATTCATTAGACCTTTTGCCAATCAATCAATTTTAGCAGTACAGCTTATGCACTCCATTTTCTACATGGCTGAAAGCCAGGGATTTGAAATATTTGGCCTAAAGTGGGAAATTCCAATATAAACAAACATTCAAGCCTCATAAATTTACCGACAAGCAAATATAATGCTCCCTTGCTGCTAAGGTCAGCAAATCTACTGGCATATGGGGAACAAAATGTCGAACCTTCAACAAATTTTTGACTGGAAAGACGAGGGATTTAATCAAATATAAGCTTTCACATCATTACCAGATACATCTGTAAACATTAGTAAACTGTTTTGTTTAGTTGACACCTTGCTTACCTGATTAACTATGCCCTGTGGAAGAACAGGAGGATGCTGTTTTTGCGGTGTTATAGTTTCCATTGCTACTTTGGCTACAGTGCTTGCATCAGCTCCTGCTGGCACAGCCATCATTGTTGAACTGCAGCCAGCTTTGTTAGGGTCACTGACGGTAACAATCCTTACTCCTACTTTATTTGGAATTCCTGATATATTATCATTACCCTCAGCTGACCTTTTTAATGGTTGACAATCCACTGAACCATTAGTTGTTGGTGTCTGAGAAAGCTGTACCGAATGAAGAGATACATGCCCAGATTGATGCGGAACAGTAGAGTAATGCAACTGCGGAGAGTTACTAGAAATTGAAGATTGCACAGATACATCTACACTTGAACATTGTTGAGGCACAACTGAATTTATGCTAGCTGTTATTGGTCCATTGGATTGTCCTGAGTTTGTTGGACTCTTATGATGGTCAACAGAGCTTGAAACCACTGCACATGTAGTACTAGAATTTCCTATTGAAACAGATCCATGAGGCATTTTGGCCAACTGACCACTTTTGGCAGTACTTTGCTGTTTGGAGTCTATTTTGCTGCATTGTTCCTGTGCAAGTATTTCACCATTTTCCACATGGTTGGAAGCCTTAGGATTTGGAATGTTTCTGCTTAAGTGTGAACCATCTCCTTTATCAAAATCACAGATCCCATTAATCATGTGTATCTTCAAAATATCCTTTTTTGATTCCTGCATCCCTGTATGCTCTATATTCAGCTTCCCATTGATTACATTTTGACATACTCCTGTTAATGGTCCATTTGAGGCCAGTGTACACTGAATGGGCTCAGACTGAGTAATCCCTGAGGTAGGTGGAGGTACACATGAATTGTCATATTTGTTTCCATTTAAAAGCGTTGTTGCCTGCACTTTACTTTCCTTTGAATCACCATTGGTGGCACCAGAAGTTCCTTCTGCACAGCAAGGATTCTCCATAATTTCAATTTTCCGTTCGTGTACATGTAACCCTGTTGCATCCTTTGCCTCTTCCTCCTTTTGACAAATAATTTTATCACCTGTAAATGTGGTGACAGGTTCTGGGCTTTGCACCAGTCCAGGCTGTGTTGCCAAGATAGATGGTGGGGTTTGCACTTGTAGGCCAACTCCTGTTTGTGATCCACTAACAGCAATCGCTGCAGGGGCAATGATCTGAGCTCCATTACCATGAGTCCCTGTTGCAGTGGCAAAGGTGGTATTTGGCACAACTGTAATAGTTACTTGGTTGCCAGTTGTTCCCTGGAGAAGAGAAGCGTTACTGGTCGAGATCAACTGGCCTGGTAAAATCTGCATATGAGGAATGGGTACAGCCTGTACAGAACCCGGTGAGTGAATAGAAGCTTGGACAAGTTGCACGTTTTGCTGGCCAACTATCATTTGCTGTGGTTGGCCTTGAACTCCAAAATTTGTTGCTGGATTGTGAGTCACTTGGTAAACTATCTGAGGACTAGGAGCTCTGGTATTAGAGGGTGGCGGCATCTGAGGGGCAGGCAATATCAACTTGCCGCCTGGAGTCGGAGGACCTCGTTTTGGAAGCAGCAATTGTTTTATTAAACTGGACTCACTAGGGGGAGGCTGATTGGATCCAGCAACTGCATGCTGTGTTTGAAGCTGCACCTGAAGCTGCTGTTGAGGGCGATGTTGCTGTTGCTGTCGTTTTACAGAAAGCATCATACTCACAGTTTTAGGCCCCTGTATTTGTGGCGCGGAAGATTGAGCCACCATACCTAGTTGCACCTGGGCACTATTGACAGGTACTGGGGATGGTGAAGAAGATGGGGTAACATTTGCCTGTCCAGTCAAATGAATAGTTTGACCAGCCTGAATAGCAGTAGGGTTTGCTAACAATATCTGATGAATCGCAGGGGCAAAACCTTGCCCCTGCTGAGCTGGCTGGCTAACAATGACATGAACACTTTGCTGGGGTTGTTGTACTATGGTAGACTGGACTTGTTGATGAGGCATTCCCGCTGGTTTTGGTGCTATATTTTGGTAACTCATCCTCGGACCTGGAGGACTCTGAACACCAGCAATTGTAACTAGCTGACCTGCTGAGACTTGGAAGTTTTGCACTGCAGTGCCAGTTGCAACAGCAGAGCTAGACGTTGAGGAAGAATGCTGTGGTGTGAAGAGAATGGTGTCTTGCTGGTTATTCATTATTGGCTGGTGAAGTGACGTCTGCACAGGTTGAGATGTTGGACCTGATAATAAACCTCCTTGGGAAAAAGTCACAGTATTGGCTGGTATACTTTGAATTCTGCTAGTTGTTACTTGACTGTGAGGCATAGCCTGGTGAATTACAGTAACACCTGTTGATACAGAGGTGCACACATTGACCTGGTTAGAAGATACAGTTTGTACTGAGGGCTCAGGACTGGAAAGCTGCTGTTGAAAGACTTGATGGTGAAGGGCTTGCTGGGAAGCAGTCACTGTAACTGAAGATGATGGTGCTGTAGTTGTATGGTTTTGAATCACTACCCCTTGTGGAATGCTGGAACATGCAACAGCAACTGCAGAATGAGAGTTGAAATGTGGAGATTGGAAAACTGTACCCTTCATCACATCTCCACTGACTAGAGCTCTGCTAAATGTCACTGCAGTGTTTTGATGGGGTTGCAGCACGCCAGTTTGGTCTTGTGTCACCCTGATAATGTTCTGAATTGGAACATTTTGCTGAAGTGTGTAGACGGTTGGAGTTCCTGGCTGGCCTGTGGAAACGCTAGCAATCGGCATCCTTTGAAAGTGGTTTATCACGGTCGGCACTGCAAATAAAACAGTTCAAATTAATAATCAGCATAGATGCGAATGTTGTTCTTTTTCTTTCTGAAAATTCTAAGTGTTCAAGCAGCTTTAATAGGCAACGTTATTTGTTATTCAGATTTGAAGAGTTTCAGGTATGAACTGAAATGTCCAAGCAACCAACAGACCAACAGTAAGCATCCTACAACATCATTTGAAATGATTTGGATATCTCTCCAAATTGATCCATGGAAGTTTTCCCCCCAATCTGAACCATAGACTGAAGCCGAAGACCAAACAAGTCCAAGTTTTTTAAAGAAAATCTTTCACGACAGAAAATGCTAATGTTAAACCCAGGAGAGTAAGGTTTTGGAGCATCTAATCTGAACAAAAGATTCAGAAGAAATGAACAAATATGCTCTAAAAAAAACTTCCAACTAAATTAGATGAAGCCAAAGCTGTGTACGTGGGTTGGCAACAATAAGGCACTAAATCTGAGCAAGATTATAATTATTATACAAATTTGGTATAAAAGGAAGCATCATTTACATTCCCCCCACTCATCTCGTCTGAAGGATTGCAATGGAAGAATCGTTAAATTGCAGTCCAAATAAATAAAACACTGCAGATAACACTTTTTGAAAGACCATATTTATATAACAAAATAATAATTCTTGCATTTGATATAGCACCTTTCAGGTTGGAAAGTCATTTCAAAATTCTACCCAGGAGTTACTTTAAACTGTAGTGACTGTGGATTTTGTAGGTGAACATGAATTAAAGTGGAACAGAATCTATAGTTCAACTCTTCAAGGCATTATTTCATTTGCATAAGGAATAGGAAAATAAATTTTAAACACTGAAATGTCTGACATGTTTACATTCATGTGCTGTGTCTTACCTGAAGGAGGTGGACTGAGAGCTATCTCTGGAGTAGCGGAGTGAAGATTCTGTGACAGCTGGTAGTGCATCTGCATGGAAAGTGGTGTAGCCCTTCTTTGGATCCCTACTATATGTATCTGTGCTTGCCCATTATTATTAGGATCTTCCACTCGCTTTATTGTATGGGTTGGAAATACAGTCCTTGCAGAGAATACAAAAAAATTAAATGAAGTAACAAGCTTAATGTTTTACTTAAAACTACCGAGAATCAAAATGATGAAATACAATAATTTCCTTAAACGTTCTTGCCCCAAAAACTCAATAGAAATATGAGTTTTTTTAAAAAACAAAAAATCGTTTCAGCTTAGGCTCAGAAGCAGGAGGAATCATGTGCATCCCGAATTGGGTAAGGAGAGAAGGAACAAAACAATCTATCCTTATTAACTTCACAGGCTAGATTTAGGAGTGGCACCGATGGAGTTTTGCGAGAGGCTACCCACCAGACCAAGATTTGCAAGCAGAGATTCAGCAAGTGTTGAAGAAAAAAATTACAAAAATACATATCCCAGTTGAAGCCACCTTATTGCAAAGACCAATGGAAAGAATATATTAACTTACCTGAGACATTTGTTAAATCCTGCTGATGTTAATATCCCACTATGTGACGATTTACTGCATACAGAAAGGTATTCAGAGTATAGATCCACACGTGACATTGAGCCATCTAAAGTGGTCTCCAAATGTGAATTTAACCTAAATAGACAAGACCATATTTTTTGAAAATATTTTAGACTATTATACTGCAGTGTCAAATTTTAACAATTTTGAATATATTTAATTCAAAAGAAATTTATTTAATCTATTACAGCTTTATTACTTCTATATTTCAAATGTATGAATCAGAAACACTTTCTGCAAACTCTAATACTTTGATAATTAATCTACACAACTCCTGGTCTGCTGTATCAATGTCTTCAATGACTCCAATTTAACAGAAGAAAAAAAAGGATATGGCACTTAAACAATCCATTGATTAAAAAAAATGTATTCAATTTTTCAAGATTTATTTTTGCACAGTTGGGTGATAATTAAGCTGTGAACAGTGCATATTCTATTACATGGCATCATACTTTAACACCAACAGTGATACACCAAGACAGGATATTATTCAAACTACTCACAGAAAAGTGCAAAAGTGTTTTTGGACATTCAATGCAATACTTATTAAATAAAAATATATAATTTTAAAAAGCACCAAGTGCCTTACCTCAATTGCAGACAACTTGCAAACTAGTGGCATACCAAGTAAGTAACTTTCTGAAGTTCCACAAAGTTCATAAGATTTTTTTTCTAAACTTTTTTAAAATAAAATTGTCCACCAAATGTTTATAGTTCATTCTTAATCTTCCCGTATTTTACAAAATCGGGAAGTTATATCTTTATAGATAAAATGCCACTATTCACAAGAAGACACTGAATCCTCAACTGAAAAAGAACAGCTATTACCAATAGATACCACCACCCAGGGGCCAGAATTTACACAGTGCTGTTGAGTTGTCAGATCTTCCATAGAGCCTCCTCTGGAATACACCACACGTACCAGAGGGTTTGCAAGAAAGCATTAGGGCTTATGTTAGTCATCTAAAAGATCACAATTACTCTCCATTTTTTTTAAGATCAGGCTTTTGAAAATGCCCATGCTAGTGTACAGTTTGAGAAAGCTATCTGGCAATTATTGCATACTTGTTTCGATATTTTCCCAGGGACTGAGTTGGCAAAAGCATTTAGCTTCATTGAAGTAAATATCTGTGCCACTTTGGGACCGATGGTTTTAGCAAAATTTGAACCTAAAGGGTACAGTTTCCTACTGTTTTTAAGGCAAGAATGGAAGTACACACCACCGACTTTCCTTAGCCTAGAGTCAATAATTATCTTAGTTATTTGTATCATGTACATCATTTACAGTGTTAAAACTAGATTCAAAACACATGTTAATTAGCACCCTGGTTACCTTTAATGCCCTGGCAATTTTCTACATGAATATTTAGAAATTACACTACGGGATGTATTTCAAAATCAGTCACTTTTTGTACTTATGTCATAATCGGGAAAACAATAGTGGATATTTAAGTAATTTTACTTTTAAATACATAGCACTGTTCATTAATAACCAATAACTGCTTCCCATTTGCTCCAAATATTTACACTTACCACTGGCAACCAAACTTTTCACTGTCAGCTTCTATACTCGGGGTCGTTACCATCACAGGACCAACTCTATTTGCTGTGTAAAGTAGAACAAACAAAAGATGAATGACAGCAAAGAGGAATCCTATCATGATAAAGCCATAGAAGGCAGTTCTTTAAAAAGGATATTTGGTACTTTTTAATGAACTATTTATCCTTGCATTTTATTCATACAATTTCTAACTGTAAAAGGAAAATTAATCCTCATCGTATTGCCTGTTCTCCAAAGATGGACCTTCCATATAAATCCTTGGGATTACCTGACTGCATGCATGCTGGAAGGAATTTTCAAGTGCACCCACATGCTCCTGTGTGAACTCCTGCATGGTAGGTGTTGAGCCCTCTATCAGTGCTGGAAAAAGGTTTTAAAAGTTACTTACTGAGGCAATCTGATGCCACAAAGTTCACAGTTTCCAATCTCAGCTATGCTGCTGTGCAGAGGCAGCAAGCAGAAGCCAGATGCCTACCCTTGGGGGAGGGAATGTCAGCCTGGATTGCTCTCCTTTGCAACCTGCTCAGAGCAGCACTGGCAGAAGACTGGGACCGGGTCACCCACACACCTTCTCAGCCGCAGTCCATAAGCGGAGACCAGAGAGACCAAAGGTGACTGGGGAGAAAGCAAAGGGATTCCATGCCCTCAAAAAGAGAAAGATGTTATTCACCACTTAGCTAATAGACTTCATTCTTTTAGTTCACTAAACCTGTACAGCATGCCCAAGTTGTATACAAGTTGGAGTCCCTAATCGCTCTGCGGGTTTTATTGATACATTCGCAATTCTTACTTTGCAAATGTAATTTGCATAGCAGATAGACAGGTAGTATCTATGTAGTGGTTGTGATGTTAATCTTCAGTCCTTTACCTTCTCTTTCACTGCAAAACCAGTCTCTAAGGGTGTAAGTCATTTTTCAATGACTGAATAGTAAAAAGTTGATCACACTTTCCAAAAAAGGTTGGGTGCTGAATTAATGGTAGGAGGAAGAGAATGGTTAGAAAAAAATAGGAAGCAGGTTAGAAGAGACAGTAAAGTTAAAATAAAGAATAGCAAGGAAAAATAAAAAGAACATATGATGATAAGCTGATCAGGAGTTTAGAATGCTTTGTATTAAATTATTTAATGTTTGATTTTCACTCTTTATTTAGGGTTAATATTTACAACAGACTATCCTGACATTTTATAACTAATTTATTTTTATATGGGTGACGGATAGCAGAATCACAGGATGAGCTGAAATGTCCAGAATTTGTTTGGCTCACAGAGACAAATCTTTGTTGACTTTCCAGTAGTTTCAGAGCCATATTCCTAAAAATACATATATAGGAGTTTAATGGGTCGGGAAAGAACTGAAAACAAGCCACAAGATGATCAGATGCAATAAAAGTTTGAAAAAGAGTGAGAAATTAGAATGTGCAATTCGGGCAATTGCTTTGCTTTTCAGCTCTCCAAAGTGAATAATTCACTCAACAGTAGCTGGCAAGTTGATCTTTTTGGGCAGTCACAAATTAAAGTATCACCCCACGGATGCCAAATTGTTTCCCGTTAAAAATGTTAGATCTGAGTTTGTCTGGAAGGGCATTTTTGGGGACAGAAACCACAAAATCAAGTCTTCCACCAATGAAAACGTCAGCAGGCTGCAAAGCTGAACCTTATGAAATTCATCATCTATAAATAAGGAACTAAACAAGAAAGTATGCGGCAACTTAGGTGACCAGCATCTAATCTATCCTGGCTAAGTTGTTTTTTAGATGTTTGATCAAAACAAAACAGTCCACATGAACTTTACAGAGTCTGCCTAACTCTGTTGGCAGCACTCTCACCTCTTGGTCAGAATGTAATGGGATATACCACATCAGAACTTCAAACTTACACTCTGGGCTGACACCCCAATGCAGTAATGGGAGCACCACGTTTTTGGAAGTGCCATCCTTCAGATGAGATGTTAAACTGAAGCTATGGCTCAGTTAAAAGAGAAGGTATGACAAACATCATCAAAATAAATAAATCATTGCTGCTGAGTTCACTTACAGTTACAATTTACACCAATTCCCTATGAAGCACTTGCAGCCATTTCTACATTATAGGTGTTATAATAATCCTTGCATTTGATACATTATTAAACAGATATTTTTGGTAATTGTATGGGGAGGGGTGACAGCTAATCTATAGTGCAATATTCCCTCATCTCTCCCAATTTGAAGAGAAATTAAAATATGATCCCCAGATTGTACTCTGTTAAAAATATAAGATTAAAGAACTGAACCAGTGGAATTTGCACTTCCTGTGTTTGTCTCCTCCCTTGCCTATTTCAAGGTCCATCTCAAGACCTTCGTCTTTGACCACATCTTCAGTCATCTTTCCTTTGCCCCCCTGTCACTCAGTGCCCTATTACTATTATTTCAAACTCAAGTGAAAAGCCAGGACTGTCAAGCGCCTTTGGACATCTTCCTGATCTGGAAGAAACTATATAAATGTAAATTTGCTGTTATTGTGTGGATGTGAATCGCTTTACTCCTGAATCCACTTCTTCAAAGTAACGAGATTTGCACTGCCTGGACTCCCTCGTTCCAAATTAATACTGGTGTCAATCACCTTGACAGCACTTGCTTGTGAGTTACAGGTTGTGAGTTCAAGCCCCAAGTCTTGACTGACACTGCAAGGAAGAATTGGGAGGACCCTGCATTACTGAAGATACCTTCTTTAAAACAAGATGTAAACTGATGCTGCCTGCCTGTTCCGCTGCACCTTAAAATTTTCATACTATTCAAAAAGAAGGGATTTTCTCCTGTGTCCTCACCAACAATCCTATAGATAAATGAATCATTCACATTATGGCCATTTGTGCACCTTGCTGTGCACAAAAATGTTTCTGAATTTGCTTAGAAAATAGTCACTGCACTGGACAGCAATTACTGTGAAATGCTTTGAGGCATTTTGACCCTCAATTTTTTTTAAATTTACATTTCACATTTGGTGGCAAATCGTCACTCATAATGTAGTAATACACCATCAAACATAATCTTAGCAAAGCGTCCATTTGCTTTTATATTGAGTGATATTCACTTCATTTTCAGTGTTGGGTCAAACCTTTGGTGCCTGAATACTGTGAAAACCAACTGGAATCTGAGGAACAATGTTGCATCTGTTACAATCGAACCAGATGTAATATCTTACCCATAAACATACCTGGAACTGGTGTGACTTGGGTCTGCGCTTGGTGAGCATGCTCCATCGCCTGGGGTCTGACATCCGTGACTAATTGGTGGTTTGAAGTTTGATATTCAATTAATTTCACTGTTGTAATTGTGTCAGAACCAAATGACTGGATATCCACTGAAACAAGACACACTAGTGTATCTGAAAGAAAAATAAGCTACCTATTTACCAATGCTCCACAAACTAAAGCAGGTTTTACAAACATGCAGTTTACAACAAATCATTTTACATTTTAAATTATTAAATGACCACACATTTAATTAATTATGCAACCTAATAATTTTTCAGTTGGTCAATAAATTGCAGCTATTGCCTATATTATTTCAGCTAAAAATACATCAAATTATTTAAAAAAGATTCTTTCTTCAATCTAAAAAAATTCAGCTCTATAGTAAAGCATAATAAATTAATACGGCTTGCAGTATTGCACAATCTAAGGAGAAAGTGACATGTAAATAATTAACACATTGATTCATTAACTAGCAGCACACCACACTTAATGATCAACTGGAAAAAGATCAAGCTGTATTTTTAATAAGTAAGTCCTAATAAAATTGGTACCTTTTCCAGAAATGAGAGTCTTAACTTACCTAAACTTTTTTCCACATTAACTATCTTTGTGCAAGGTATTTCACCTAGTTCTGTCAGCATGTATAGCATCTCTAATGTAGAGATTACCAGCAGCATATCAGGTAAACTTAGATGGCATATTGTCTCCCTGTAGGACTCTTGATCAACAAATTCACATATCAAGTCTGCGTTATCTTCGACTTTACACAAGTTTCCGAGGATCTCCATACCTTGAAGCAAAATCATACAAAAATTGTTTGATGGCAACATGTTTTTTTAAAAAAATTAAATTATCTTACCTTTACTGTAATCACTCACCTTTCATCTTCAAACACTTGTCCTGGCAAAGTAGACACTTTGTTATAGTGTGAAATATTAGGTGAGTGCTTTTAAAATCAATAGGATCTAACTGAAGCTGTAAAATAAAATGACATTAACGTATTAATAACATTCTCTTTTGTGTCTCTGGTGCTTGCTGTTGTCCAGCGATTCATATTAAGGAATAATGGAGAAAAAAAAGCTGACTTGTAAAGTGAATTACAATTACAAGTGAAAAGATATTAAATTGTGTCAAAACCAAAAAGAAATTACGAATGCTTCTGAATTAAGATGCATATGCAACTTGGGTTAGACCAAATATTTCGACTCATTAATTTTCAAGGCAATTGGATAATATATTTGTGCTATAAAACATTATGGTAATTATATTCTAATTATGATTATACAATTCTAAAATTATCTTTCAATTACATCTAAAATTCGACAAAAAAGTGCCATAAACTAAATATTAAGAGTATTGAGTTGCCTAAATTAAGATTTGTTAAAGTAAAGAAGATGCAGAATTCAAACAATTGAAATACAATACCAATCAGAATAGTTTCATACCTCTGCAGCTACATTTCCCAAAGTGTCCAGTCCCAGTTGCTTCAGAGAGGCATATTGACAATGGGAACACAGCAATAAGAAACGGAGACATGTGCGGTGAGCTGCCAGTAACTTCACGTTTCTTTCCTCGCAAGACAGATTGCGAAGGATTACCGCTATCTGAAGCACTCGCTGACCTTCAACATCATTGATGCCCAGCGTACGAGATCGGTGAAATAAAGCGGGCTCCCACTCAATTTTCATACTTGTACCTAAACAGATTTTTTTTTTAAAAATTAAATCTCCATTCATACACAAGTATCAAATCTGAATACATGAATGAAAACATAACCTGATATCCAAATCAAACAAGCTACACAAAGCATTAAAAAAAAACTTCCTGTGAAGCACTTTGGGACATTCTTCCAATGCGAAATGTAAGGATTATTATTAATATAAATCCAAACATACAAAGATTGCAAACTCACTATAGGGATAAATTTCAGTGTCCCACATCCTACCTCATTGGAATATATAATGTACATCAAGCATTAATAGACTCCACAGACATATATGAAAAAAACGTAAAGTACTGTACAATATATAGTAGGCATTAAATTTGTAAATTTAGTTAAAATGTTTATACACCAATTTCACTTACCTTGTGATCCATTGGTCCTATCAATAAGGAGCTCTCGTATTTCATTATCTTCTACATTGTCTCTCCAGAACTATGGAAGTCAAAACACATATTAAGTGATTAATTTTTTTAATTGAACTAATTAATTAAACTAACAAATTGCAAGCATTTCAGATAGGGATGAACAATTAATGATATGGTTTATAAAGTCCAATTCCAAAGTAATTACTATAATATCCAAAGTTGACCATCCTCAAAATGTTACCTTAGAAAACCATAAAAATGCAATCCAAAATGACTTATATAAAATAAGTTTCACGTCAATGAGAAACCCATAAAGAATGCTCAAACCGAGATTGAAATTTATCAGATAACATTTTAAAGAATTACAGTACATGCACAAGCATCTATTGTGTTTTCAACACTACCATATGTGGATAAACCTATTCCACGTATCTCAACACAAATAATTCAGCAGATATCACAGTGCTACTCAAATTATATTTGGTCACTATCAAGCATTTTAAATTTTATAAGAAATAAGTTGAGTGAGTTTTTTTCAATAATTTGTTACATCTGGATAGCAAACAACCGGGAAGGACTTGACATGCTCCAAAGCACTTCTCAAACATGTCGCAGTTCTTGAAGTAACTCCTGAATGTTTCTAACAATATTCAATATTATTTTTTATTCACTATATAATTTATATAGTGAGCTTTGAGTTAATACCACAACTATTGATCCCATCACTATGAGCCATTAACTGTACTAACTTTCCTGGGCGGCAATTCAACATACTACTACCGTACACACTTTCACTGGCATTTAAGCATAATGAAAATGTATTATACTTCATTATACTTATTCCTTTCAATTGTTGGTAATTGAAAATTCAAAACAACATAACTTTGAATGCCTTGTATATATGTTGAGGAAGAGGGGAGGAGGGTGGAGGTAGGGTGAAGGTGGTGGTGGGGTTGATAGTGGTGGAGGTAGAACAAACATCCTCATATTTCCTTTGAACAATTCCATTTCCCGAAGATGGGGTACATCAAAATTCTGAATTTAAGTTTCTGCTGTGGAACATAATCAGATCCTAATTTATTGGATCAAACTCTAGCTGGGAGAGATAGGTATTTTCCATGGAACACTACTTGCCCTATAGTGAATAAATGTGAACAAGATGGGAGGATATTTTGAAAAAATATAGCATAGACAAGCATCAAAATTAGTTTTTGTTTAACCCCACTTATAGCTTCCTCCTCCATTTCAAGTGGATTTATTTCACCCACAAAATACAGTCAAACTACTTGACAGTATATCCTTTGAAGAGCTTTGAGATGTCTCCATGACATAAGGAGCTACATCAAATGCAAGGATTATTATTAGCAATCATGTGGGCGGGGAGTAATTATATGAAACCAGCAATGATTTTTTGAGCCACAAATTTTTCAAATCTGTTACTTCTTCTACACAACAAAATGTATTATTCATTTCCTTCAAAATATGAAATACCTCACAAAAATGATTCAAATTAACTCAATTTTTGTAATATTTTATTGAATTTGTTTTGATAAAGTCTAATAGCCAAGCAGGTAAAACACATCTTCACCATCCTTTGGGCAACAAGTGGGACTCGCTGTGAATCTGTACACATGGCATCCATCTGAAATAAAATGAGATATGCAAATTTAAGATCACACAAGGATTATTATACACTTCATTGCTTGATACTACCTAGATGTAACACCTGTTCTGAACTCCTACAATGCAACAGTGGTATGGGAAGTGTTGAATACAGTATTTTGGAACAGATAGGGGAAAAGTGTTAAATATAATCATCAGCTTTTAATCAGCAGTTTAAATGCTGGATCTTTGAATAGATATTCTTTGACAAACCACAGCTGAGCCTGATTGTTTTCCGCTGCTGTATATTAACAACAGGAGCATCCCATTACAATGGAAACCAACCAAATGCATGCTGTGCACATGTTTATTGGAATCAATCATATACAAGTTGGCATAAAATAAATTTTTCGATTTAGTATTTGTCAGTGACAGCAACAGTTAACAACAGAAATTAGGCCAATTTCTCTTTGTAATGAAGACAGGTGGGCAACAGGTAGACAGTGAAAATAGCTACAGCTAGCAGAACTGAAGACTGATAGATTGCGAATTGTAGAAATAATCATGACTTGAGCAATACTGAGCACCGCCTTGATGAAAGATTCAAATTCAACACAGCTGCAATATTTTGAAACACTGGAATATGGTCATTTAGATGTGCACACCATTGTCCAGAAATAAGATATATTTGTATTTTTCGGGGGTGGGAAGAGTGGAAAGTTAAAACAATTACAGTATTATTATTCCTTCAGCAGAAATAGGAGATAACATGACACCAAAATATGTGAAACAAAAAATACATGAAAAGAATAAGTAATAGTTATAATAAAATAAACATTTGCCTACCTTTTTGGAGTCAATTTCATTACTGATGAGCCAAGAAAAATGATACGTTCTCAGAATACATCCCAACTATCTGGAGCGAAGCTGAAGAAAAACTCACAAAGATGGTTTACAAGAATGCCCAGGAACAAAGCCTACCACACAGGGAAATATTTGTAATACAGAGTGTGAATCTTTTAATATTGGTTAATGGTTCAGATTCGTTCATAACTAGGAAGGAAGTGACAAACCAGGTAACTTTATACAGTGAGTTTATCAGTTGGAGGCAAATGAAACAATCCATCATCCAAGATAGAGTAATTAAATATTAGGATTAATGAGAAAATCAGGTAAAATCATCAGTTTAGTGAAGAGTAGTTCATTTCTGATTAACCCAATAAGAGTTCTTTGACAGAAACCACCAAGTTGATATAGATTGAAGACGACTGAGGATGGGTGTGATGTATATGGATTTTCAGAAAGTATGCAAAAAAAATATTACACATTTTACTAGCTAAAATGAAGATGTGTATTGGAGACAATCTCATAGCATGGAGAAGAAATTGGTTGGGAGGCAGAAAATTGAATGAAAAGAGCCATTCTCTGATTGGCAGATCATAACAAGTGTCCCCCTCCTGGGATCAGCAGCAAGGCCACAGCTTTTCAAACTATTTATACATATAGATACACACACACACAAACACACATATATATTGTATATATATGCAGTATATATATATATAATAATCCTTGCATTTGATATAGCGCTTTTCATGTCGGGAGGACGTCCCAAAGCGCTTCACAGAACACACTGTAAAGTGAATTGACGGTATATTTGTGGGCGAACGCGGCAGCCAATTGCGCACAGCAATGTCCCACAAACAATCATAGATTGAAAATGACCAATTTATTATTGTTTTGGGTTTTGGAGGGATTATTATTAGGCTCTGTGTGGAGTAAGGAAACTTGCCCAAGGTTTCGCCCTCTGCCTGGAATTGAACTCAGGTCTCTCACTTGCAAAGCGAGTGCTCTAACCACTGAGCTGCAGGACTGCACACGCGCACACACACGCATATACACACACACATATGCAGCGCACATATATATGCACACAAATATGCAGCGCACATATATATGCACACACATATGCAGTGCATATATATACACACACACACATGTAGCGCACATATATATACACATATATATGTATGCACACACCCGCAGCGCGCGCGCACACCCGCAGCGCACACACACACACATATGTAGCGCACGTATATATATACACACACACACGTGTAGCGCACATATATTTGTATGCACATACCCGCAGCGCGCGCGCACACCCCCGCAGCGCGCACACAGAGCGCACACACATACACGTAGCGCACACATACATATATGTGTAGCGCACGCATACATATATATGGAGCACATACATATATATGTAGCGCACATATACATGTAGTGCATATATATACACACACATATATATATATATGGCGCACATATATATATGTGTAGTGCACACACATATATATACACATATATGTAGTGCACATATATGTGCACATATATATATATACATATATATTTATTATACACACAGTGAAGCCTCTATAACGCATTGATAAGGACCCACAAAATCCCACTCTATGTTGTAGTGTTATACACTTAGCAAGTTTTTGAGTGCACATGCACGTAAGTGGCTGGCACATTTATGTTATGCAGGAACACACCATACAGACTACAGTGGAGCAAACATTTAGATATGAAACACTTCATCTCACTGCAAGAACAGCACAACTCAAATGATCGTCGTCTCCTCTCGCCCCCTCGATAATCACACTGTATGTGCAGCAATGACACTATTTTTGAAAAAATATATAGTGCATTGTTGGTGTTAGCTTTACAACCGGCACATGTAATATTGACATTGACACAACTGATATCCAGGCAGAGCTTCTTGCTATTATAAGCTCAGTATAAATCTATTGCTAAAAAAAGTGAATATATTATCTATTAAGCATCATCATTGTTACCTTCATAAAATCCCTGCCTGTTTTTTCTTTCCATTCTGTTCCAAATACAGAAGAAAGCGTTCCCAAAGCTGTGAAAATAATTATTAATTACAATTATAAATAAGTTCAATATTAGGTGCGAGCAAGTTATTAATAATAAATATCTAAATAACAGAGGCACCATTGTTCTGAAAAAGCTAGTTTACAATGAGGAAAGGCATGCAATCCTGGATCACTCAATATGTGATGTGCTAAGCACACTTTTGTGTGGGGTTGCACCCCAAGTACTGTATCTTTAATACTTTCTCTGGTCAGTTAATTGAGAATGAATAGATATGTTTTTTCCCCACTTTGACTCAATTAATGGACTGAAAAACAATGAACTTGAAATGCAAGATGCCACCAAATTATACTTCAGTTTTTTTTTAAAAAACTCTCATTCCCTTACAGGTGTTATATTTTTTTGTGCAGAAGAAATGGACCCATGGTCAGGTTTTTTTTTATTGGAGCCAAATTCAATTCCACAAACTGATGCACAACAAACTAATTAACAGTTAAAATGAAACAAATGCAATTTCTGATCAAGTTTTGATTAAATTGGAAGGGAAGAAAAACAAACCAAATGCACAATTAAATATCTCAATCACAAGCAAAATAAAGAAGTGAAACATTGTACTGTTGTACAATAGCCTGCAAGCACTTCAGTGAGGTACAGAGAAGGTGATCATCACCAATGAAAGAAAGGGAAGAGTCAAAATGAATTCAGAGAGCAGCAAATAAGGAAAAAGTTAAGTAGCCAATAATAATAATACTTGCATTTGTTATAGTGCTTTTCATGTCTTCTAGATGTCTCAAAGCACTATATCAGAATATACTGTAAAGTGAATTGACTGTGTATATGTGGGCGAAGTGTGGCAGTGTCAAACAAATAGTTGTGCATTGAGTGACCAAATTATTATTTTATTTTTTCTTGAGGGATTATTATCAGGCATATGGAGTAAGGAAACTTGCCTAAAGTTTCGCCCTGGCGAGATGGAATAAAGAAAGGTGACAACGCAAATTGGATCAACTAGCCAACTGTTTTTTTTGTGTCATGAACTAAATGTCACTATGGATTCTCCCCATTTTCTTCAATTATGTCAAGATTGAATGAATGAGCAATTAACCCATTTTTAACTCAGTTAAAAAATATATAATTACTCATATCCCGAGTACACAGTGTAAATCATACAAGTTATCATTAACTTACTATCATCAAACACGCCAGCATGAGCAAGTAGTATCGTGATGATTCTGGGATCTTTTTCAAGTTGCAGGACATGCTTACTCTCATTTGAGAGGAGAGTGCAAACATTAATTGCAAAATCCACTTCATTTGGGAGTCCAGACGTAAGAGAAAGCACCAGTTTATCATAGTCACTAAGTGTGACAAAGTCTGTATGAAGTCCATAGCTTTGCCGAATATATTCTGGAAAAAAAAGGACAAATGTGGATTAATAAGATAAGTAAATGTGTAAATTGGGGGCGGAAGGAGGAAAAAGAAAACAGATTAAAATCAAAACAATTCTTCAGTTTAATTCAACATTATTTTCAACATATAATGTAGGCTGGTTTGGTACTAAACACTAAGGCATTAGCCACCAATTAGAGATTTTTCTCACTCAAATGATGGCCTATTATTCAATAGTATATACATGAAGGCTGAATGAATGAGGATGAATTTACACACTACAACAACAACAAGATTCCATTTATAGAGCGCCTTTCACGTCGGGAAGACGTCCCAAGGCGCTGGACAGTTGGGTCAGGACCCGAGCAGGGGGGAAATGATCAGGGTGAGGGGAGGGAGGGAAGGAAGGGAGCGAGGAGGGGGTAGAGAGTCAAGAGGGGAGCTGAAGGCACGGTCAAAGAGAATACTATAAATTCAGGTATTAAAAATATTTCCATCAGAAGTACATTTAATAGTTCAGCATTCAATAAATAAATCGATGCTCATTTAAAAAAAATGTTTTCTGATTAAACCAAAGTGAAGGATGGAAACTCTTCAAAATGATGTGCAAGGGTCCTCTGCAACACTGCCTCTCTACCCTCAGGCCATCGAAACCCTCATCCAAACATTTGCTTGTTGGGCCTTCCCAATTCTTCCCTCCTCAAGCTGCAGATCATCCAGAACTCTGCAGCTTGCATCCTCACCCACACCAGGCTCCCTGATCCTATCACCCCCACCCTCGCCCGGCCCCCCATCCCTCCAGAGAACAGAGTTCAAAATCCTCATTCTTGCCTTCAAAGCCCTCCACGGTCTTCCTCCTTCCTACCTCTGTGACCTGCTAATGCCATATCAACCTGTCCGCTGCCTCTGCTCAGCAGACTCCTGCCTTCTCCACTTCCCCTGCCCAGGCCACTGCGATCAGGCCTTCAGCCTCTTTGTCCACACCCTTTTGAACTCCAATCACACGGTCCCTTAGCCTCACTCCCTCCCATGCCTCCTTCAAGTCGCTCCTCTTCGGCCACCCTCCTACCCCTATCCTCCCTCGTGATCCCAACCCCCCACTTGGGTCCAAATCAATGACTGTCCAGTGCCTTGGGACATCCTCTTGTTGTGAAATACACTACACAAATGTAATTTGTTGTTGTTATAGTGAAACAGCTGGTAACATTACGATTTGCCCGTTTAGGAACATGTCCAAGAATTGTCACTTGTTATCTAAGTGCTACAGATATGCTTCCTCATCTGGGCCCAATCACTTTGTGCACTACTGCTAAGTTTATGTTTCCCATTCCCCGTTGCAATACAATTTTCAGATTAAGATGTTCTACAATGCACTTCTTCAGTCTCAAATCTAATTAGCTTCTCATTGGTTATAAAGCTGGTTTTGAGGATGAGAAATAAAAAACTTTCATTAAAAATGAACTGTAGGGCAAGGCAACAGAAGAAAAGTTCCTCTAATAGTTTGGTGACTTGTCTAATGAGGAGTTGAGTCAAACAAACCGCTAGGCTCAGGCCCATCATTGATCTGTACTCAGTTAACTGATTTCAAAAGGGCAGTAATACGGGGCCTACAAACTCAATTACATACTTCAAATTAATGAGCAACATCAAACTAGTCATTAAATTCTTTCAAAATATACTGAATTTTCATTATTTACCAATTCTTTAACCTGAAACTAGTAATAGGTTGCTTATGATGAGCAAGTATGGGAGCACATTTCACCTTAAAATGATGAAAATTATATTGCATCCCATTTAGTAGATTTCAAGAGAAAATTTGATGCAGTTCCACTCAGGTCCATGGACTGGATAAAGATGACTGACTACAATGCCAGCGGTAAAACACGACTGCTGGTCCTCTAAGAGATAGTGAGCTCCTAAAACCGGAGCTTCAAGCTATATTTTTTGTGAGACATTGCTGTGCGCAATTGGCTGCCACGTTCGCCCACAAATATACAGTCAATTCACTTTACAGTGTGTTTTGTGAAGCGCTTTGGGACGTCCTCCCGACGTGAAAAGCGCTATATCAAATGCAAGGATTATTATTATTATTATTATTATATTTCAATGTTTATGCCAGAAACACAAGTACTACTACCAGCTGCATCTCAACCTTATTCATCAAAAACTCTGAACATTGCTACAAAGCTTCTCATGCCACATCTGCTTTGCAAACTGCTTGAAACTTCCACTCAGAAGTTGAAATGCAGAGTGAACTATAATTTAATGAGCCATGCATTAACTAATGGGAAATTGTAGATGTGTTTATCAACACCCCAGTGCATTTTCTTTAATTGTTTTTGCCCTGAAGTCAAATTCACCCTGGTTAGTTGTTTTTCACTATATGCAATTATGGCTTCTAACACACTTAAAATTGAACATGGCACTCACTTTAATTGTGTTAATGGAGAATAGCATCAAATGACATAAGAAACTTCCAGTATAATAATAAATAATAATTAAATTAATAATAATTAAAATAATAATCCCTCCAAAACCAAAAACAATAATAAATTGGGTCATTTTCAATCTATGACTGTTTGTGGGACATTGCTGTGCGCAATTGGCTGCCGCGTTCGCCCACATATATACAGTCAATTCACTTTACAGTGTGTTCTGTGAAGCGCTTTGGGACGTCCTCCCAACGTGAAAAGCGCTATATCAAATGCAAGGATTATTATTATTATTATAGTATTCAAAAGACATCTCCCCAACTCCTCTTTCTCGTTACTATAACCACAAAATATGTGGTTCAATAGGACTTGGATGTTTTTCTCTCTCTCTGAAGGTTTGATTCTGAGCTTTCTATCGGTTTGGCAATTCTCTCATAAAATGCTAATCATTTTAATGTAACATACTTTACAGACAATTACTACAGAACATTTTTTGTTTGGGGAGGGGGCAGGAAAGAGAAGACTGAAAGAAAAATGTTAACTACTATATAAATATAGAATTTTCCAGCAATCATTTCAATATAGCCTTAAGAATGAATTACTATCAGAATCTGAGATGCATTCAATATTACAACTGTATGATTGACCATTTTGACATTTTATCCAACACAGAATTACAAAAAGTAGAGAATTCTCTCTTGAATCTAGATCAACTATTTCTGCTGCTTATATTAAATATTGATGCACATTCCAATATGAATCTTTTGAATTAAAATTGAAAATTTGCCAGCATAATTCATTCAAGTAATAAATACCATGACTGGCACAAGATGTTGTGCTGAGACAAGCAATTAACAAGCATATTGGGAAAACTAAAACTACAAATAGCAAATACAAGCAAGATTTCTAACTTCCAGTAGCTAAAACTCAGAATAAATAACCATATATTGATAGGAAAGCTTTAAAGAACAAAATCCACACAACACAAGTACAAAAATGAATAAAATCTATACACAAGTGAGGAAACATTACACAAGATTGTTTGTTAGGTAGTGAACAGTACACTGCCCTCTATAGGCTAACTGAACTAAGGTATGCATAATACTGAGAAATAAATTTCACAAAGTTTCTTCTGTCAGGGACGAGCTGTCTGTCCCAAGAATTCAGCTCACTACAGTTGGAGGGAAAAAAAGCATTGGCTAGAAGCAGCGAGAGCCACCCTTTACATTAGCCTGCAAAGATTTGGAGTTAAACTGAGGGGGTGGTGTTTCTGCAGCTGCAGAGGCAACTTTATTGCCATTGAAAATAAATGCAGAGTCAATTAAATCAATTTTTCTACCCGTGGCAGTGAAACTCACTTTTTCTTTTGTTTATTTGAGAATCCTTCTTGCTTCCCGATTGAATTAGTGGTTTGAGAAATGCCAGCATTGTGTGACATTGTATTCAGGAGATCAATTTGCATGGTGCATTATTCCTGTCACTAATTTCTCCAAAAACACAGCAGAAGTTCTAAGCCGCTGTATTTAAAGGATGGGCTATCCCTCAGGAATGCTGCTCTTTCAATTACAGCATACATCTCTGTTGTGGACAGATTATCAAACATAATGACCCATACTAGATTTGTTATTAAATTAAACACTGCATTCAGATCAAAGAGAGCTCCAATACTTTGTGAAAATCATGTAAATGCATTTGCAAGTCAACATGTTACCAGACAATTACCATTGGGAAAGTTCCTGACCTGCAATTGATAATGTACAATTCATCTTCAAAACTACTAATGCCTATGTGTTCCGATTCACGGAATTCAGGGGATGAGGGGGAGTTTAGAAGAAGCAATTTCATGCAGATGGTTATTAGAATGTAGAACATTTTACAAGTGGTTATTGAAGCTGAGACCAGAACACTTAAAAGGTAAAAAGTTGAATATATCAAGAAAAAGGATTTGAATAAAGAGTAGAGCAGAACAGATACAGTGGAGGAACAGCCCAAATTCAAAATAGTCACATGGACTTCTGTGCTTAATTTCTATGATTTTATATCTAACCAATGTCTGTACCAGAGATTAAATTGTAAGTGTACGTAAGGCTATAATTTGAGTTGGTCTTAGGCTGATGTCAAGCTGTGATTAGGCAAAACACAATGCAACCAAAAGGTTTAGCTGTAAAGGGAAGAAAATGACGTAATGCTCCCAGCTGAACGTAACTGTAAATTACTAATAAATGACTTAAGTATGTTTGCTTGCACTGCACTCATTGTATCTGGAAAGTAAAATCTACTGTCCCATAATGAAGATGTTATATGTACAGAAAAGAAAACAACTGATCTGTACGTGGAGCTAATTCCTATTAACCATGCATTTCAGTTGAGCTATACAGCTTACTCCCTGCCTGCCAGTGCTGGAACTGTTCTATAGTTACCCTTCACATCTATTTACTGAAGCTCATTTTCTGCTGCATTACTTGTTTAAACTAGTAAACTACTTAACCAACCAAAAATCTGCCTGATTTTTTATTCAAATCCATCTTAACTGCTAGATTAAAATAAATACTCTCGCCTTTATAAACTTGGAATTCAATGGTTCATTGTTGATGTTGAATGTGACTATCCTCCTGGCAAACAACATGGCTGGAAAAAAACAGCTCTCTTTCTGAAATTTGCATTTTTACACAGTTTAGGAGATTCATCAAAAATCTTCTTACTGGATTTTTTAAAGCACTTAATTTATTTCAATTAAGATGTCCCTTTTTCTTTTTTATTTTCATGCTCTACTTTTCTTAAACCTTTCAGCTGAGAAGGTGGGTGCATGGCCTGCTCAAGATGCAAGTAATACTATTGTATAAGAGACTGCCCGGGCATCCAATCAAATTTTATTTCCCCCAAACGAACCCCCCCCCCCTTGAGAAGAAGCTTCATTTTGCACCATTTTCACTTGATTTAGACGGGGAAATGAGCAGAATGGGACTAAAAGGTGCACCTGTTTCCATTCCATAGTACTGAATATTTTGTTAGCATGTCAACCAACGTGACATACAACTCATGACCCTTTCCTATCGGATTGTATTGGAGAAGGTATGTATGTATCATTTTAGGGGGCAAGTGTTTAATTTTGAGCTTGTGACACTGTACTGTAATTATCAGGCCATCAGATATAGTTAGAGGTCTAATTTCCTGACAGATATGTTTCGGTTATTGATTCAGTGCTAGCAAAATTGTTCCTCTAAATTAGTATGAAAAAAAGATGGTTCTTCCTCCTCAGTCTCTTAGGAGATAATTCCCTGTAGTCTTTGGACAAAAATAATAATCATTTTACTTTTGGATATAATGCCTTTCATATTGTGAAGACATCTTAACCCGCTTCACAGGAAAGAATTCAAAATGTAGTGACTATTTTGTAGGCCAATGACAAGAATGTAGCAGGTGATGAGATTAACTCAGTGATAGATTATAGCAAGCAACAACTCGTGGACAAGCAGAGAATATAATAAATGTTCTCTTTCCTGTGCAAACCACTTGCATAAGGGCAGTGAATCTGAAAGGAACAAAGCAAAGAACATTTCGTTTTCCTCTTTCTTGTGGGAGATAAAGTGTGTAACATTAGAAATAACACTTACTGATGCTGTTTGCTCCATAGAAAGGACAATTTGTTTCAGAAAGATCTTTTGCTTTGCTCTACATCTTTTCCCTTGCTCTAGATCTTTTCCCTTGTACTTATTTAAGCTTAAAAGAACTGGGAACATTACTTTTTAAAACTTACATACAGTAAACTCCGGATAACTCATCACCCCAAGAGAAAATGATCCAGTGATGAATTATTTGATGTGACGAATTAGCCGTTGGGTCACTCCCTCTCATTCAGCAGCACTTGCTCATCACTGACACCACATATGACTGTGTACGATCAACCTCCGCCAACTACCCACACCAACCACGAATTGCATTTATATAGCACTTTCCACGTCGGCAGAACGTCCCAAGGAACACCAGTCACAGTATAGGACGGAAAGCACTGCGCAGCTCTCCAAAAGACCAGAGACCTCTGCGATACAATGATGCCAACATAAGCACCGCCATTTTGTTTATAGGACAAATTGATACGATCAATTTCACACTGAAATACTTCCAAGGATTTATATAAATGCAACAAGTTATGTGTTAAGCAGGGTGACAGGCAAAGCAATGTCTCTTACTATAGTTTATATGGAAATCGGTGGGATATTGATGACATGAGAACTTAAGATTTGGATGGGGGGGTTAAATCTTATTATTTAAATCACAAATGGGGTCGAGTTATCTGGAGTTTACTGTATCTTTTGTATATAACTGAACTTTAATTTCCAATGACAAACATACAACATATGGAATCAAATAATGTGAATTCATAATAGCTGTAATTTTACTCCAGGTTTTATTTTGGAATAGTGTAGTAATGCTATGACTGAGTGATCATTTACCTGACAAAAAGTGTTGCTGGTAATTGTATGATGAAGGTACGCCACCAACAGGAACTGGGACCCGTAAACCTGGACCAGGTTCATCATCATCCTCCCCAAAATGATGTACCTTTTCATAGACTTCAAGGTAACTAGAATTAGATATAAAGCACTATGAAATAAGGCAATTGTTATTAAATATGAAATATGACATGTTATGTAAGTCGCACATTACAATTCAAACACATAATAAATTCCACATGTGTGTAAATAGAAACAATGTTTTTTTCCCTTACCAAATTCAGGTTTCTCTTACCTTCAATGTTGCAACTTTAATATAAATTATTAAAATATTTAATAAATGAGCACTTAGAATAAGAGTGATTATAAGCAATATTCTGTTTTCTTTAGATGTTGAACCAAGAAATAATTGGAATTATATAATGCACAGCAAATGCGTAGCAGTAAACATCAGGAGAAATTGAAGTTTGATATTTTACAATCATGGCAATGTCTGAACATCTGAAGTTAACATATTATAATTTATTGAAGGTCAAGTATTTCTTCTGTAACTTGGCTTTCAAAATAATTTGGGGAATTTCAACAAATGGAATGTATTCAGTGAGGCGGGGAATTATTTGTGAAGTACCTTGGCCACTAACATTGTTGATCCTGAACATGAAAGTATAAACTGTAACATATCACATAAAGTTTCCATTTTTTACTTGTTGCTACAAAAAGTGCATAAATATTATTTGCTTCACAGTGCCTCAAAACATATTCTTTAGAGTTCAGGCAGTACTTGGACATGATTTGTTCCCCACTAAGCACAGATCAAAATCACATTTGGCACCTTTCCCCTATGGTTCCTTATACGATCTTTGGCTGTTCAGGTGGCTTTGAATGATCTTTTGTTTAAAAAAAAAAGGACCTATTGTACAGAAATCTACATTCATACCAAATCCCAACGCAACACAAAAAAGCCAATATGAACTTGAAACTTTACCAATCATCATATTTTGCAAAGTCACTGCAGGTGAATTCAACACAATTTAGTACACTAATCAACTAAGCAATATTGCGAACCAAAAAATACTTTTTGTTTCTTCAGTCATTTTGGAAGTACAAAGTCACAAGATTTCTCATTTTTTGTGGGGTGGGGAGCTGGGGTTCCAGGTCCAACTTATGGAAAAGAGTTTCAAAGTTTCTAGCTCATAATAGACCTGTCCAGAAAAGTTTCCAACTACTTCTCAGCCTTTACCCAGTCCCAAAGAGAGGATTTATCTGATACAGTGATGCATTTTAAAAGGTTCAATCTTCACAAAGGCCAAATGACTTTCTCCTGTACTTGTGTTCCAATAAATCTTTGTCAAAGGCTTAAATCTTGTTTAAAAAAATTCTTCTCAACTCATGTGCAACATCATAACATAGTGCTCTTCTTCATGGGCCAATTTGCGTGCAAGTCCCTTAAAGGCAAACTCACAACCAAGGTTGACTGGAGCAGGAACCCTGGCTTTATTTCCCTTCCATAGCCCAATGAGACCAATACCAATATTATAATAATAGCAACTGATATAGCACCTTATCACGTTTTCGAGAAGTCTCAAAGCGCTTCACAGAATATACGGCAAAGTGTCAGTGGTCGTGGAGTTGAGGGTAGAAGAGGAAAGGTCGAGTTGGGTGTCATCCGCATACATGTGGAAGTTAATCCCATATCTGCGGATGATGTCACCAAGGGGGAGCATATAGAGGGTGAAGAGGAGGGGACCGCGGATAGAGCCCTGAGGGACACTGCACGAGACAGTGCAGGGGCTGGAGGAAAAGCAGTTTGCAGAGACAAAATGAAGACGGTGAGAGAGGTAGGACCTAAACCACTCAAGGACAGGGCCTTGAAGGTTGAGGTGGGAGGACAAGCGGTGGAGGAGGATAGAGTGGTCGACCGTATCGAATGCGGCTGATAGGTCAAGGAGGACGAGGGAGCCCTGGTCGCAGATGGTCAAGATGTCATTGGTGACCTTGACCAGGGCGGTTTCCCTAGCACGGAAACCTGACTGGAGGGGTTCGAAAAGTGAGTGAGTGGAGAGGAAAGAGCGCAGCTGGGAGGCGACAACTCTTTCGAGAACCTTGGACAGGAAGGGGAGGTTGGAGATGGGCCGGTAGCTTGTTAGCTGCGACGCATCAAGGGAGGGTTTTTTCAATGTGGGAGTGATGGTGGCAGTTTTGAGGGGAATGGAAACAGAGCCAGAGGGTTAATAGTGTCTGTGAGAAGTGGGGCAAGGAGGTGGAGCTGGGAGATAAGGAGTGGAGTGGGTTGAGGTCCAGGGAGCAGGTGGCGGGTTTCAAGGACAGGATGAGTTTGGTGACAGAGGGTGGGGAAACGGGTTCGAAGGTGTGTAGGGGAGGATGGGTAGGAGTCGGAGTGTGGGAGGGAAGGGGTAGGGGTTGGGTGGAAGTTGGAGGAGCAGTGACCGCGGAGCGGATTCCCTTGATTTTGGATTCAAGGAAATTCAGCATTTCCTCGCAGTGAAAGTTGGAGGAGGTGACCTGCGCGGGGTGGCGGGGGGGATTGAGGAGTCGGGATGTGGTGGAGAACAGAAGCCTGGGGTTGTTCTTCGCCTCCAGGATTATCCTGGAGTAGAAGGACGACTTGGCCGAGGCTAGAGTGGAGCGGTAGATTTTGAGGAGGTCCAGCCAGATTTGCCGGTGGACCGTTAGGCCAGATTTGAGGCAGGTGCGTTCAGCGGCCCGCACCTGGCTCTTCAGTGAGTGGAGGTAGGTGGTGAACCAGGGGGAGGAGCGAGAGTAAGAGACAGTACGGGAGGTGTGGGGGCAAGAGTGTCGAGTGTGGAGGAGAGGGTGTTGTGGAGGAGGGTGAGACCAGAAGAGAGGTCAGTGAGGGATGAAGGCCAGAGGGAGAGGAGTTCAGAGGACTCCAAGGCAGCGGTTAGGGATTGTGGGGGTAACTTTTTCCAGGGGCGGTAGAAGATGGTGGTGGGTTTGGTGGAGGTAGGGAGGGGCTGGACGTGGTGAAGGAGATGAAGTGGTGATCATAGACGGACTTAATAATAATAATCCTTGCATTTGATATAGCGCTTTAATAATAATAATCCTTGAATTTGATATAGCGCTTTTCACGTCTTCTAGACGTCCCAAAGCGCTTCACAGAATACACTGTAAAGTGAATTGACTGTATATTTGTGGGCGAACACGGCAGCCAATTGCGCACAGCAATGTCCCACAGACAGTCGTGGATTGAAGTGACCAATTTATTATAGTTTTGTTTTTTTGGAGGGATTATTATTAGACGTGTGGAGTAAGGAAACTTGCCCAAGGTTTCGCCCTGCCTGGAATTGAACTCAGGTCTCTCACTTGCAAAGTGAGTGCTCTAACCACTGAGCTACAGGACTCCACATGGTGACATCCGAGACACTGAGGCCCCGGGTGATCACCAAATCGAGTGGGTGGCCGTGAATGTGAGTGGCGGAGTTGATGTGGAGGGAGAGGTTGAGCGAGGAGAGGAGAAGTCCGAGGAGATGGAGCAGGAGGGGGTGAAGTGCAAGTTGAAGTCGCCCAGGATGATGAGGCGATCAGAGCAGAGGCAGAGAGATGTTAGGGCAGACAATTGTGCTCCATAGTGTCCCACAAACAGTCATGAATTGAGTGACCAAATTATTTTTATTTATTTGAAGGGATTATCACGTTTGGAAGAGCCATCCGCCCAAACTAATGACCGTGTTCCTACTTACTTCTAGGTAAACAGAGGTGTGTGGAGCAAGGAAACTTGACTAACATTTCGCTCCTCTGGGAATCAAACCCAGGTTCTCTTGCTTGCTCTACCTAATACACTAAAAGATGCCACATAAATTAATATATTATTTAATGCAACTTTTTTTGGACGACTTCAAATGTAAATACAGAACATAATGCAAGCCTTGCAGTTAATGTTTTTCCCTTGTATGAATTTTCTTTTTTGCAGTGCTCTTAAGAGTTCAAGTTTTTCTACCTAGCACTGCAAACAGAAGTAGAGATTTATACTGCAAAGATGTTTAATCAACTGCATCAGATCTGAAGCAATTGAAAAAAAGAACACTGCGCTGAATGGAAAATGGTAATACCCAGAGTAATTACAAGCACTAATCTCATCAAAGGGCTCAAATAAGTCATAAACCACAATTGTGGTCCTTGAGCTGCTTTATCAACCACGTGATGAAATTCAAATTTTGGGCTACTTCTCCAAAACTAAACCAATTCTTCTACTAAAATCTAATATTCATATTTAGTGCCACAAACTACAGTAAAGTAGTGCCACTGCACTGTTTGCAGTGCTAGGTAGAAAAACTTTGGAACTCAAAAAGCACAAAAAAGAAACACCAGAAGTATAAGTTTGTAAATCATGGAAAATCCATTATTTCCAGTTTAAGTATGCAGTGCATATTCAGCAACGCACTTGTCTGTTTATCAGCTTTACATTATCTACATATTTACAAGTTTCACATCAATCATCAGTTGAATTGTCCAAATCAACCCAATTAATATCATAGTATATTATTCACCTACAGGAAAATGCCACTCACGGATTCTGTGTAAAATAATAATACCTCCATTTGATAGTGCGTTATCATGTCTTCAAGATGTCTTAAAGTGCTTCACAGAATATACAGTACAGTGAATTAACTGTATATTTTGTGGGCGAAATCCAGAAATTGTGCACAGCAGTGTCAGACAAAATTCGTGGATTGAGTGACCAAATTATTATTGTTTATTTTTTAAAGGATTATTACCCCCGGAAACTCAATCCACCAATCGACTAATAACCAGGTTCCTACGTACTGCTAGGTAAACAAAGGCATGTGGAGTAAAGAACCTTGTCTAAGGTTTCGCCCTGCCAGGAATCGAATCCAGGTCCTCTTGCTTGCGAGGCCTCTAAATATGAAACTACAGGACTCCAAAGCAATGCTTGATTACTTTGATTAAAACATTCTTCATCAATAAATAGATTTATACAGTATTTTTAAGGTTTGGGCTAATTACATTTTTCTTTAAAAAGTCACCCAGCAAAAACAGCTGACTTTTCATAAATACAGTACTATTTGTTGTGAGTAGCCTATTGTTAGATGCAGCAATCATTCATTCTGAGAGCAAAATATATTGT